ACCGTTTAACCATCTGTTACTAATCGTTTAACAGTTCGTTAATAATTAGCTAAATTTGGCTACCGAGAACCAACTGTTTAGTGTTTAATCGGCTATAGGTGCAACCATTAATCATCAGTTCGGATTTGATTATCAGTTACACTAGTAACATGATAATCGTTTGCCATCCCTATGTATTCTAAGTATCGTGAGGCGATCTATTATACTCCAAAAGTATTGATGTTTTCGGGTATAAGTTGAAATTGTATTATAATATCAAAGGTACAAGTTCAGTTTGTATCATAACTAAATCATACAAAAATGTATAGGTACAAACTAAACTTGTACCTAACATTAAACGTACAAGTCCAGTTTGTACCATAAAGAAAATTGTATGAAAATGTATATGAAGAAATTGAATTTGTATTATAACATTAAAAATATCTGTACTATATAAGAACAAACTGGATTTGTATAACACTAAAATACAAGTTAATTTTTAATATAAAACCCAACAACTGCACACCCCTAACCATCTTTACGTTTTATATATCCGGCCTAATAATATACAAGTTAAACCCAACGATTTCAATCTTTACCATGATCAGCAAAGGATTTGATTCCTTGCTGATCTTACAGCTATGGTTGTATTAGGAACAAGTAGAAGACAGCGACGTATGTTACGGAAATCATTAGTCAAATAATAATGGTAATTCGAAAAAAAAACTAAAAAATTCAAAAGGGAAAATCGAATCATGATCATATATACATCTTAATTAACTCTGATATATATATTATATTTTTCGTTTAACCATTATTACGGTATATATAGATACATTCCCTTAATTATCATATTCCATTCACGACTCCTATTTCATTCCCTTCTTTCCCTTAGGGTTTTCCGCCCGCCGCGCTGCAATCTTCTCTTTATTTTCACGACGTCTCAATTCAGAATTGCACAGAGAGGCATTGCGACAATGGTCGTCATCACGCGCCCTGCTTCCGACCAACTGATCTGCGGGGTTTATTAACATCGTCCATCAATGTATGCACGACGATCAAGTGGGAGTCAGGGTTCATTTAGGCGTTCTTCAGGCAGAGCGATTGTACAAAGCACAGTGCACTCTTCTTCTATCAAAAGTTGCAGTTAATTAATTGCAAGGGAAGCCGCGTTTCTCCATTTTTGTTATCGGCTATGATTTGTCTCACCAGATCGATCAACTACACTTTGTGCTAACGTCCTGATTTTTCACCATGTAAGTTATCGGGTTTCTAGATAGGGGTTTGTTCCTTTTATTTTTCGTTTTTGTTTAATGGACTAATTATCTCATGACTAAGATGAATGATTTTCTTTGTTTTGCTACCATTTCAGACGCAACCTGATCTAAACCTGGGTGATCAAGAATCCTTGAAGGAATTTTCGAATTGATGGAGTTCTTATTTATTTCATTGTCCAATGTACGGTAGTAATTTGGATACTAAATAATTACTTCTTTTTATTGATATTTACTCTTTACTTTTATCTTCAAAAGAATGTTGCTAATTGTGGATGCTCTTTCTATAATCAAATGTGACAATCTATCATCCCCAAAGACATTGTTTAAGGGACACCCAGTCATCCCTAGAATTCACGTAGATGACATTTTCACGTTCTCAATGATATCACTTAAAGGACAATTAGTCGTTCCTAAAAAGGTGCATAAATGACAACTCCTCGTCCCCCAAAACACAAGTTAAGCGACAATTGTTCGTCCCTAAAATTATAGGTGACAACTTGTTGTCCCTAAAGATATAGTACAAGAGACAACTTGTAGTCATTGAATAACATTTTTTGGGACGATTTTTGGACTCCTATTTAAACTCCTATTTAATATCATAGGAACGACATGTCGACCCTAAAAAAAGAAAAGGGGACGATATATTATCTCCATATAGGCGTAAGACAATCATGAAATCATTATGTGGGACAACAGTTTGTCCCTGGAAATGATGTTTAGGGGACGACTTATTGTCGCTAAAGTTATAGCTATAGGGACGACATGTTGTCTTTCATGGAACAGAAACTAGACGACGACTTGCACGTATAGGAGACGATAGTCGTCCCCAGTAATGGGGACGACCTATATTTTTGTCGTCCCCAAAAAAATAGAGGACAAGAGTATAGGGAACCACACCTTGGGGACGACTTAGTCGTCCCCAAAAACTATAAGGACGATTTTCTCTATTTTTGGGGACGACTTTTGTTGTCCCCAAACCACCTTTTTTTTTTTGTAGTGACGCCCCATATAACAATTATTATGAAATCACAGAATAATACAAGTATCAGTACTTTAATCATGTGTCTGTGAATGTGATGGCAGAGAAACCAATTAAGTTATGTACGTGCAATTAATAAGTAGATTCCAATATAACTTTCTTTTTTGAAGATGTTCTTTTTCAACAAGTTTTGGACTTGTACTAAAGTCCACATCTTAACTATTATCAATTTCATGCGTTAACTATTTCTAGTGATGCATCATACCCTTTGTTTCTTCCTACCTTTTGAACCCGAACCCGAACCGAACCCGTGTGAACTGTCCATATTATTTGGCCAGCGATTATTTCAAGTTGCTTGGGGGCTAGTGACACACATACCGCAAAGAGAAAATGCTTAGCTTGTAGGTTTAGCTCTCCAAGTATAATCTCACTTCTATAATATTTGATTTTTTGATTTTGGAGAACAGATAGTTTAAATACCTCAGTTTACGAATGGCTATTTTAGAATTTATCAAAATGGTAAGCTACGAACATCAACAATTGACATTGAGGGTCATAGTTGAACACGTGATACTAATTAAGGATAAACCAGCTCTGATACCATGTCATAAATCAACTGGGGCTAATAACTCAACTTGTTAAGAGAGATCCATATATAATACTTAATCACTTTCATACCGTTTGGAGTTGTATCACTATTTTTTTTTTAATTGAATTTATACGTAGAATATATTAAGCAGGGGAGAAGAGAATTGGTTTTATAGTTGAATTGATTGGGTAGCGATGGATGGATGGACAATGGTTGGTACGTACTCATCTGGGCCGGCGCCAGGTATGTATATTCTCGTCCATATATATACACACAAATATATAGCTGTGTGAGGTGGTTGATGTGGTTACAAAATACTTTTGGTATATATGGAGAGAGAGAGAGAGAGAGAGCGCACTGAGTCTTGATTATTGCAGTTTTTTTTTATGATTGACTTCATTATATTCCGAACTAAATAAACCTAGAATACCAACGATAATATTTATGATCTTCTTTACCAAAAAAAAAAAAATTAGGATCTTCTTGGACAATCCACGTTTGGAGTCTGTTTGGTAATATATGGTTGAAAGAAATGGATGGTTTTTGGAACTATATCTTAATTAGTAAATAACCACCGAAGAGGGTATCTTAAATTTGAAAATTAAAAGCGGGCATATGGGTTTCAATTTGATAGACTTGTTCTTCATTCTACCGACGAAATCCTAAGGTCTACTAATTAAACTGATTTGATTGACTTGGTTACCACCGCGTGGCCCGAATTTGGTCAACTAGTTTCATTCTACGAAATATATAAATTAATAAAGAAGAAAGGCTAGCGTATATCCGGGCGTACCGCGTTCACGTATATTATTTGTACTTTGATATATTTTGACAAATTAGAATAGTAGGTTATTAGTTTAGGATTAAACAAATCTCATGGTTTTAGTTAGAAACTTAGAGATTGAGGTTCATCCATTAAAAGTTAGGGTATAGTATCATATTCTGAATTTAGGTTAATTCATGATCTAAATAGCATGGTCCATGAAACCGTACCGGAGATCGTACCAGGAAAGTAAGCTTTAGGGTATTTTATGGTAAAACCATGGTTTAACCATAGTTCAACTGTTATACCGTTAAATACCGCCTACCGGTTTAGCTTCCGATACTGGTATTTTGTGGTTGAACCGTCGGTACGGTACTGTTTCATGGACACTGCTAAATAGTAAAAACTCAACGGGCATACAGTGGATACGCGTACACTAAATAGTAAAATAAATATATATTCAACTTATAAATTATTTGAATACGGCTAATACTTACTATTTATCAAATGATATAACTAACTAATATAAATTTTAAGTTCAATGAGTTAGTTTGGCCATGTTGTAACTTTATACAAACACATTTTAATTAGAATTTTTTTAGAGAAATTAAGAAAAAGGTATGTGTGTCAGTGTTTGGTTGATAAATTATTAAAAGTATTCTTTTTAATATAATTTTTTTATAAAAATAATTTTTAAAATGGAATATAAAAAAGAGATGCACACAATTTTTTATGACTTAGCGGGAAGTCAGAAGTGGTCAACCAAATAATTCCAATATTTCAAATTTGATTCATACTTCCTACTATGTGATTTTTGTAACAACCGTAAAAAAAACTAGTAGATACGTGGCATATTCATGATTCGTACAAAATAATTTTCAGTTCTTTACAATGAAGAGCAATCCATCAAATTATATAACAGAAATGGAAGTATACATTTTATTTATGTAAATAAGTTTATCAATGTACCTTTTATTTGTGGAAAAGAAGATAGGAATTGACCCTTTGACCTTTTCCTTCTATTGGAAGTCCATTACAATTTCCAAAGTGAAGAGATGGAAATGAGAAAGAAAAGAAGAGGAAATGAAGGAGTCATGTCGGTGGGAAATTGGAGGAAAATTGAAGAATTATTTCATAAAGAAAACATACTTCTATTTCATAAAGAAAACATAATTCTGATTTTAAAAAAAATTAAAAACACAAGAAACAAATCGCAGAAGGGAGACGAAGCAAAGCAAGCAGCCACAGCACAACCCACAACCAGCGCAAAACAACACACCATAATATAATCCCCACTGCCTAAAGGGCTCAACAGTAAGCGCCAGACACACAAATCTCTCTACCCATATTTTTTTTTGCTCATATACATGTATTGAAATAATTATATATATATATATATTTTTGTATGTATATCCCCAATATTCTAATCCCAATCTCAAAGCCTCTCCTCTTTTCTCAACTCTCAGAGCCAAACAACAAAAGTTTAAGTTTAGAAGAACAGCAGGGGCAGAAAAACAAAAGGGGAGCAGAAAGCACAAACCCCCAACTGATCTCAGATTCAGAAAATACACAACTCCAAATACCCACTGCCCAAAATCACCTTTTCAAGGTTTTTGATTCTTCCCCAATCCCCAATGACCCACTGAAGTTTACAGGTGAGAAAACCCATTAAAAAAGCTTCTTGCTTTTTACATATCTCTTCTTGAGCAGCCAAGGGGTTCTTCTGCTTTTCTTCTTATTCTTCTCTTTGCCGTTTCCCTTATTCAGGTGATTGGCTTTCTCTCCTCGTGTATTCGTAGTGAATTTGTGGGTAAAGATTTGTGCTTTGCCTGTTGTGTGTGTTAAAACTGATGATTGATGTCCTTGTTTTTAGCTGTTTTCTGCTTTGGGTATTGAGTTGTTTGTGTACATAATGTTTGAATCCAGTGAATTACTGTTGTTGCCGCAGGTTCGAGGAGCAGTTGTTGGAACTTTTTGGCCTGGTGACTAGGAAACTGGTCTGATTGTATCATTAGTCTGCAAAGTTGGATGGAATAATTGTGCTGAGCAGAAGTTGGCACAGTTTTAAAAGATTTCAACATTAGTTAGAACATCCACTTTTCTAAGTTGATTTTTTTATAGCTGGGATGGGCTGCGAGTGTTCAAAGCTCTCCTCATGCTGTTGGAATTCAGAATACAATCAAAAAGTTCCGGAGGACCACAAAGAAGGTGAGGGCAAAATAAAAATAAAAATAAAGAAAGATGGTATTGATTGGTTCTAGTTGCATTGGTTTCCCAAGTCCCAACTCAATTATGAAATGAGATTGAATTTCTATTTGTATGGTTTTTAGAAAATGAGGAGAAGGGTGAAGCTGATGACCTCCCTGCATTTCGCGAATACTCCATCGACACAATCAGGATGGCAACTTCTGGTTTTGCAGTGGAGAATATAGTTTCTGAACACGGAGAGAAGGCTCCTAATGTTGTATATAAGGGAAAGCTTGATAATCAGAGGAGGATTGCGGTCAAACGCTTCAACAGATCGGCTTGGCCTGATTCCAGGCAGTTTTTGGTGGGTTCAAAGCATATGTTCCTTTGAATGCTGTATTGTTGATGTTCTTAAATGTAGCATATGGTAATTTGACTTATTTGTTTCCCAATAACTTCAGGATGAAGCAAGATCAGTAGGGCAGCTCCGAAGTCATAGGCTGGTTAACTTACTCGGTTGTTGCTGTGAGGGAGAAGAGAGGCTTCTTGTTGCTGAATTTATGCCGAATGATACCTTAGCAAAGCACCTATTTCATTGTAAGTTTTCGGGTTCTTGGTCTTGTCAGGGCTTTGTGTTTGGGGAAATATAACTATTTTCAGCACTTGCATCCTTCATTCTATGTACATTGAGGAAGGTGTTCTCTTAAGTCCTCTATCCTCATCCTGATTTTTTGGTGTAACGGCCTTGTTTACTAACTGAAACATAACTTATTTCTCTTTCCTCAGGGGAAACACAACCTATGAAATGGGCAATGCGACTTAGAGTGGCTTTTTATTTAGCTCAGGCCCTGGAATATTGTACAAGCAAAGGTCGTGCTCTGTATCATGATCTGAATGCTTACAGAATTGTTTTTGATGATGTAAGTACTCAGTGATATCTTAAAATGACTGAATCTTCAGTACATGGTAAAAGTCTGCCGAAGGCCTTCTAAAACATTATTTTGTTTCTAGGAAGCAAATCCTCGACTTTCGAGCTTTGGTATGATGAAGAACAGCAGAGACGGAAAAAGTTACAGTACAAACTTGGCATTCACTCCTCCTGAGTATCTAAGAACAGGTAAATATGCTGAAACAAAGTTTGCTGTGCATTTACAATCGACCCTGATATTTCTGTTATAAGTTTAAAGTGTATTGACTACTCATAGCATTATAGCCCAAGTTGCACGACCATTAGCTTGTCGATTCTCCCACTTATTCCTTGGCTGAATAGTCAAATTTTTTATTTATGATTGTAATCTGATGTTCTTCTTGTTCGTAGGTAGAGTAACACCAGAAAGTGTGATGTATAGCTTTGGGACCCTTTTGCTTGACCTTCTCAGTGGAAAACATATTCCTCCTAGCCATGTAAGTTTCTACCTTGCTGTCATCATTTTTTGACCAGTCACAAGATATGTCTGTTGCTTCTATGTTGAAACTCCTTCATAGCCCATATATTCTGTCTTACTTTTGTTGTTTTTCAAGAGGATAGAAGGAACTTCTTACAGTTATCTCTCATCTAACTGAGGTTCTGAGAGCTGTTAGTCATCAGGATTCATGATTCTTCATAGCTGTCTTTAGTTCTCTTCTGGGGTAGGATATGCGAGCACCAATGACATAAAATTTGAAAATCGGATGTAACTTTCTTCACGCGTTGTCTGGTATTGCAATAGCAGGATGTTTACAGTATGTAACTGTGCTGGAAGGATTAGTAATGTAAATAGTTTCTCGTTGGAGTCTCAATAAAGTTGCTAAATTCTTTTTCTTTACTCCATGGTAATTGAGTATATATCCATATCCTCTATGTCTTGTAACATTGATTCTGCAATTAATTTTTAGGCGCTGGACTTAATACGAGACCGGAACATTCAAATGCTGACAGATTCCTGTTTGGAAGGGCAATTCACCAATGACGATGGAACTGAGTTGGTGAGGTTAGCTTCTCGGTGTCTACAATTTGAGCCCCGAGAGCGGCCAAATCCCAAGTCATTGGTTACTGCTTTGATTCCTCTTCAGAAGGAAACTGATGTGAGTTCACAATTGCTGCAGTCTTCTACTCTTTATCTTCGGTAGTAATGCTCACAGCATACTACTATTCAAAATTTTAAAATGGAGAACTTCCTGTAGATTCTCTTCAAATAGTCTGCTGCCCAGTTTTGTTGTAATTCTCTAACTGCTAGTGTTGCCGGCACTTGAAGTTCTTTTGCTATCATGAATGAGATGAAATTAGGGCTTTGTTTGTGCAGGTTCCTTCACATGTATTGATGGGTGTACCGGATGTTGCTGCAGCCATACCTCTATCACCCCTTGGCGAGGCTTGCTTAAGGAATGATATGACTGCGATACATGAGATCTTAGAAAAGTTAGGGTATAAAGACGACGAAGGTGCTGCCACCGAGGTTTGTTGACATTCCGTTGGTGATCTAGAATATAAACTGTGGATCTTTCTACGCTGAGTCATTCACCCCTTGGTTGTTGCTTCCTTGTTAACTCGATGCATTAAGAATCCAGCTCTGATTATGTTATTAAGTTTCTGATCTAATTTATAAAAAAAAAAGTTGCATTTGAGCTGGCCATGGTGCTTGAACTTTTAATCCACTCGGTGCTGTACGAACTCATTCATTCTGCCCTTGCTTGCCCTTCATTTTGTTGTGAATTCCATGGACTTCATGGTGCAGCATGTTACTTTCTGCCGTGCTGAGTCGATTCATTCTTCTGGTATTGTAGCTCTCGTTCCAGATGTGGACCAACCAAATGCAGGATACACTAAATTCAAAGAAAAAGGGTGATGTCGCTTTTCGACACAAGGAATTCAAAGCTGCCATTGAATGCTATACCCAGGTTATATACATAGGTTTCCTTCATTCATTTCCCTTGTTCAAATGAAAAATATCAAGAGTTATCTATCTGACAACTTTATTCTTTGCAGTTCATAGAAGTCGGGACAATGATCTCACCAACGGTGTATGCACGAAGAAGCTTGTCTTACCTAATGAGTGACATGCCACAGGAAGCCCTGAATGATGCAATACAAGCCCAGGTGATATCCCCTGTCTGGCATTTTGCATCTTACTTGCAAGCTGGTGCTCTTTTTGCCCTGGGAAGAGAGGTTGAAGCACAATCCGCTCTGAAAGAAGGATCAGCTCTTGAAAGTAAAAAGACTCCAAACTCATAATCAATCAATCCAGCAGAAGGGGGAAAAAATCCTAAATTCGGTATGTTTGGCTGAGAGATCACAACACCATTGTCAGAGAGCACAGGCATAATTTACCACCAAGGGCAGGTTGGTCCAAAAACCTGTCCTTTGATTACTTTTCACCTTGTTAACCTCACATCGAAACGATGGAGTTGCACTCTTGAATCATCTGCATATAGTTGGTTGCTTTGGTTCGAATGTTATCAAAATGAAGAGAATTCTTTCATCAGAGATTGGGGTTGCGGTGGGTTTATATCAGTCAGTTTATCTTCTACGCTAGATTTGGAAATGTGAAGATGGTCTGCCTTGCCCTGGATGCTCCAAGACTGTTTCTTTTTCCTGACCTTTTTGTTTCTGTTCCTTTACATTTGCAAGAATCCCAGGAGGGAAAAATAATTTAATTGGAAGACATTCTTGGACAGGAGCACATGTTTGTAGAGGTTTTGTTTTTGTCTTGGCACTTTGTATTTTGCCTGAAGATGATGTTTCTTCTAGATGGTGAATACAACAGGATGGTGGTTTCTTTGAGAGATTCAAAACCCTTTTGTAATTCTTATGTACAGTGCTATTATTGGTTTTGTGGTTTAGTTTCAGTTGATCATATCAGCTCCTGTTTGCTTCCAGTTTATCTATCAGCTCCTGTTTGCTTCCAGTTTATCTTATCAGCTTTGATGGTACATGTTGATTTGATTAGTGAACTTGAGGTAGAGGTTATTGATACTTCCTGCAATGGAAGAAACATGTTATGAGATTGAATCAGGGGGTATGGGCTTTTGGTATAGCGATAATGGACTAAAACCCAGTGCAAGGACCCAACAGCCTAAGCCGTAATGTATAAAGTATCAACTGGCAGGCAAAAGGAAACAAGGAGCTGGGATTTGCAAAAAGAAAAAGAAGAAAGGGCCCAACCGGGTTCGAACCGGTGACCTATTGATCTGCAGTCAATTGCTCTACCACTGAGCTATGGACCCATGTTGTGCAAATGTGTAAAACGTAAATCTAAATTAACTTTAAACAGTTACTCTCTTAGTTTATAGAAGCTATAATATTCAATTATTCATAAAATCCGTTTGAATGAGATCTGAGTATATTAATACACGCAAACGAATTTTGGGTGAGAATGCCATCTCACATTTCACAACTAATGCACTGTATTTGGTTGGCCATTTTCTTCTCCTCCATGGAAGTGACTTGCATTAAGAGAAACTTACGAAGGGATGTATTGAGAACAAATGAAGGTGGAATTTCAGAATACGTTAGCTATTTAGAAATTTGACCTAGGTAGATTTTTTTTAATTTGTTGATCTCAAAATTTCTCATCTTTTATTGTAAAATACGACGGAAGCGGAAGAAATAAAACACACAAGACACCAAGATTTACGTGGTTTCCTCGTTCAAGGTGAACGAGACTACTCCACGGAGAGCAATAAGCTCTCGGCTGAAAAACTCAATAATACGAGTCTAACCCTCTTAGGGTTTACAAGTGCTGCGACCAAAATATAAAGGGTCTTCTCCCAAACAACAAAACTCAACGTAGGGAGAAACAATGACCAAGGACAAATTACATAATGATCCCTAATGAAATAAGTATGGTACTAGGGATCCCAACACTCCCCCTCAAGCGAAGGAATGAATGTCGAGAAGGCCGAGCTTGCCAAGAAGATGACCAAAAGTATCGACGCTCAAGCCTTTCGTGAACAGGTCCGCAGGTTGTTCCGAAGTAGGGATCTTGTGAGGAGCAATGTCGCGTGACTGAACCCGCTCGCGCACAAAATAACAATCCATCTCCACATGCTTTGTGCGCTCGTGAAACACAGGATTAGCTGCGATGTGAAGTGCAGCCTGATTATCACAAAACAATGGGGTAGGACTGGAAAGAACAACTCCTAAATCACGCAACAACCAGCGGAGCCAGAGAACCTCACTGACTGTACTAGCCATGGCACGATACTCTGCCTCAGCAGAGGAACGGGCAACAACTGTCTGCTTCTTAGTGCGCCAGGAAATGGGAGAAGCACCAAGAGTAATAAAATAGCCAGTAGTGGAACGACGGGAAAGGGGACATCCTCCCCAGTCAGCGTCACAAAACGCCTTGAGAACCAAAGGAGTGGATGCCGGGAAGAAAAGTCCACGACCAGGAGTAGACTTCAAGTAACGAAGCACACGAACTGCAGCCTCTTCATGTGCTTTGGTCGGGGCTTTCATGGCCTGACTGAGCAAGTTAACAGCATAAGTAATATCTGGTCGAGTCACAGTGAGGTAAAGCAAGCGCCCAATAAGACGCCGATAGGCACTGGCATCAGCTGCGGGGGGAGAAGCAACACGGCCAAGATGGTGTTGCTGCTCAATAGGAGTAGAGCAAGGACGAGCAGCAGAAAGACCAGTATCCGCAAGAATGTCCAGAACATACTTACGCTGATTTAACACAATCCCGCGAGGTGAACGAGCTACCTCAATACCCAAGAAGTACTTCAACGTACCAAGATCTTTGATAGTGAATTGCGCATGAAGATATTCCTTAACATGAGCAATGAATGACAAATCTGTGCCTGCAAGAATTACGTCATCAACATAAATAAGTGCAGCCACGTAAGTAGAAGCGCGCCGATAGACGAAAAGTGCATGATCAGCTCGGCTTTGAGCAAATCCCAAAGTCTGAAGTGCCTGGGTAAACTTCTGATACCAGTTACGCGATGCCTGACGTAACCCATAAATAGATTTGTGCAAACGACATACTCGCGTATCACCAGGCCGAGAAAAACCCTGGGGAACCGCCATGTAGACTTCCTCCTCTAGATCCCCATGAAGAAAAGCATTGTTCACATCGAGCTGGTGAACATGCCAGTTCCGAGTGACTGCGACTGCCAACAGACACCGAACAGTAACAAGCTTGGCGACTGGTGCGAACGTGTCATGATAGTCAATTCCCTCTACCTGAGTAAAACCCTTCGCAACAAGACGAGCCTTGTAGCGTTCAACTGAGCCATCCGGATTAAATTTAATTTTGAACACCCAACGACACGCAATAGTCCGTTTGCCAGGAGGAAGATGAACTAAAGACCAGGTGCCATTCGCCAGCAAAGCATCAATTTCTCGCTGCATGGCATCTCTCCAATGTTTATGACGAACCGCCTGATAGAAATAGACCGGTTCCTCAGCAGTGGTAACGGCCGCGACAAACGCGTGATGCGCTGAGGAAAGACGATCATAATTTAGAAAATCCTCAAGGGGATATTCTACTTCAACAGAATGCGCTGCACCCGGGAGTTGGACATCATATCCACGAAGCCGAGTAGATGGGACTCGGACTCGGTCACCACGGCGAGGAGGAGGAACCGTGGGTTCTGGTGGGGAAGCCGCTTCGGGCGAAGCATCCTGGCGAACGGGAGAAATGGCCGGGTCCTCCAGGCCGGCACGAGGAGGCGAGGGCGATGCGTCCTCGGCTGGAACGGACGAAGGTGAGGCAGCATCAGCGGGAGCAATGGTAGGCTGCTCAACCACTGATGGAACTAGGGGCGAAGGCGCTGAAGAGTAAACAACATCATCATCATTAATTGGAGGAGGTGGGACGCCAAAAGAAGGACGTGACACAGCTGCTGGAGTTAGAGAACTCTCGGCATCCAGAGTGTGATAAGGAAAAGTCTCCTCCAAAAATTTCACATCTCGCGAAGTGTAGACAAGATGCTTTTCTAGATCATAGACACGGTATCCACGCTGCGTAGCAGGATACCCAAGAAAAATCCCAGCGCGCCCTCGAGCTGAAAACTTAGAGAGACCATGATGATTATCTCTGGCATAAACCAGACAGCCAAACGATCGAAGGTGATCGTAAGTAGGATCCGAACCAAAGAGAACCTGATACGGAGACTTGTTACCAATGCTAACAAGAGGCATTCTGTTGATCAAGTAGGCCGCTGTCAGTACACATTCTCCCCAAAATTTAATCGGCAAATTGGCATGAAAACGCAATGCACGAGCTGTGTCAAGTAAATGTCGATGTTTACGCTCCACCACTCCATTCTGCTGTGGAGTATCCGTGCACGAGGTCTGCAAAATGATACCGTTCTCCTCGTAATATGTTTGCAACGCAAGGGTGGCAAACTCTGGTCCATTATCAGCCTGTATACGCTGAACCTGTTTGGTAAACTGAGTCTGAATCATATTGCAGAAGTATATCAAATATTTGCCAACATCTGACTTATTCCGCATCAGAAAAACCCACACTGCACGACTGTAATCATCGACTATGGTCAAGAAAAAATGTGCACCAGAAGTAGACGCTGTCTTATAACTGCCCCAGATATCAATATGAATGAGTTCAAAAACCGATTTGGTCTTAATAGTACTCGAAGCAAAAGTATTTCGAGTCTGCTTAGCTCGTAAACAAGAGCGACAAGGATCCCGAGACTGAATTAAAGGACAATCAACTAATTTCTCCAAAATACTGAGTTTTGCCGAAGATGGGTGACCCAGTCTAGCATGCCAAAGCTCCGCCATACTCAGTGACCGCCGAACGGAATGCGCAACCGGATGAGCCTCATCGAACAGCTTGAGATAGTATAATCCGTCAACATGCTTACCCATCCCAATCAGCCTCTTGGATGGTAAGTCCTGAATCACACAGAAGTCACTTAAGAAGATTAATGCAACCGGCAGATCCGCTGTAAGTCTACTGACAGAGAGCAGGTTGCACTGAAAATCGGGAACATGAAGTACACGACGCAAATGTAATTCACTTGATAATTTGCTCGTCCCAATACTATTTACTTTAACACCTGCGCCATTAGGAATTTTGACCTGGAGAGTTGGCGACGAATCCAATCCAACAACGAATCATTATTAACAATATGTTCAGTACAACCGGAATCAATAACCCAAGCAGAAGATTTGCCAGTAAACTTACCCGCCATGTTCGAAGTAGGCTCGAGTGCAGGCTGCGAGGATTGACGAAGGTCGCTAATGAGCAGCTCCTTCAGCTGCGCAAATTGCGATGAAGTCAGCCCGGGCAAAGGACTGGTCGGTGCATCAACTTGGGCAGCAAGCGGCCCAGACCGACTGCCTTTCTCGTTACGCCGCCGCGAAGAGTCCCTTTTCTCATTACTCTTCGGGGGAAAACCAATTAGCCGGTAACACGTTTCTTTGACGTGTCCCGGACGTTGGCAGTGAGAGCACCGAACTTTGCCATCGGAATCTCTTTCCCTGTCCCGATCGTGCTCCCTGTCACGATCACCAGAAGACGCTGGGCGATCCCATCGGCGCTCCCCCTCAGCCTGAAAAACGGCCGCCTCTGAGCGCGGCCTTCTGCTCTGCGAAATCTGCCTTTGCTGTTCATCGTTGACAACGAGATGGTAAGCTTCAGCAAGGGACGGCACCGGTTTCATAGCAAGGATTTGGGACTTCACCGTACTGAACGCGTCGTCCAATCCCATCAAAAAGTCAAAAAGGCGCTCTCCTTCTCGCGCTTCCCGTTGGCGTCGCTTCACGTCGCAATGACACCCAGCGCAAGTGCAGTCCAGCGAAGGCATGATTGCCTGAACTTCATCCCAGTACCCACGCAGACGAGTGTAAAAGGCTGACACAGACATCTTTTCTTGCTGAAGGCTATGGATATTGCGCTTGAGATCATATAGACGTGACGAGCTACCCTGCCCAAAACGCGATTGCAGGTCCACCCAAATTTCCCGAGCAGTATCAGCGAATCGCACACTGTTTCGTACCTCTTTCGACATGGCCGTCTTCAACCAGCCTTTGACCATGGCGTTGCAACGCCGCAAAGCTTCTCTTTCGGTCGAATTCGTTGCTGCCGGAAGGGTACCATCAACAAAACAAATCTTGTTTTTAGCAACTAGTGAGTCGGTGATGTCAACAATCCATTCACCATAATTGACGTCCGTGAGTAACTCTCCAACGAACAGATTATTTGGGCTCTCCGATTGGTGAAGAACCAGATGCGACGGCAAGCCACCTTGGCCATCATCGACAGTCGACTTCATCTTAGATTGGTCGGCAGCTGATTTGCCTGATTTGGTGGACGATTCATCGTCGGAAGCCATGATTCAACCTGTGATCAGCACAGCTCTGATACCATGTAAAATACGACGGAAGCGGAAGAAATAAAACACACAAGACACCAAGATTTACGTGGTTTCCTCGTTCAAGGTGAACGAGACTACTCCACGGAGAGCAATAAGCTCTCGGCTGAAAAACTCAATAATACGAGTCTAACCCTCTTAGGGTTTACAAGTGCTGCGACCAAAATATAAAGGGTCTTCTCCCAAACAACAAAACTCAACGTAGGGAGAAACAATGACCAAGGACAAATTACATAATGATCCCTAATGAAATAAGTATGGTACTAGGGATCCCAACATTTATCCTCTTCACAAACGAGTTCTTGTGTTAAAACTTGACAATGAGAAATTAAACCATAATCTTTCTTTGGACTCAGACTCATGCACATGGCCTTGTTTGAACCTTTTGATAAAGTGTTCAGTGATTTGTTCTTTCCGGTTACACTACTTTCATTTAGCGATGACAACAAAACCCGAACTCACGGGTACCATACTCGACTCAATTTGGTCAACGAGGGTAAACCCCGTATTGACGGGTTTTGGGTAAGTTTGGGTTTAAACCCGTTACATTGTTCAACGGGTTGGCTTGCGTTCGGATTTAGGTATACCCCACACTCATATAATTAATTTTCTCGGTATATTTAATATTCTAAGAAATATATATTACTTAAGCAACTAATCTTCTCTATGTTTGTCGAGACATGTATAATTTGTTCCTCCTAATTATGTAGAATGAAGTTGATATTATGGAGTGGAGAGTGAAGAAGTTTAGTTGACAAGAAGGAACTTTGGTCCAAATGAATGATGAACTTTGCAGAATTCCGGAGCCGGAAGAAATTCAAAAAGTTGTCTTTGACCTTGGACAAAACAAATCGCCGGGACAGATGGTTTTGCTGGATTGTTCTTTCGTAGGTTTTGGTCCATGATAAAGGAGTATTTCTGCAAGGAGGTTAAAGAATTCTTTGTCTCTTCGATCATGCCCCATGGATGGAACAATACACATATTGCTCTCATCCCAAAAGTTCAATCGCCGGACACGATGAAGCAGTTTAGGCCGATCAGTTGTTGTAACTATAGATACAAGGTGCTATAAAAAATCATGACTAGCCGGCTGAAAATTTTTATGCCTCTTCTTGTATCGGAAGCTCAAGCAGCGTTTACCGGAGGAAGAATGATACAAGACAACATCATCCTTGTTCACGAAGTGCTGCACCATTTTAAAAGGAGAGGAAGAGGAGGTAACTTGGACATGATGTTAAAACTTGACATGAGAAAGGCCTTTGATCTAGTGGACTGGAATTGTCTTGAGGCTATTCTGGTTGCCTACGGTTTTAGTCCTATTTGGATTGGATGGATAAACCAGTGTATCAGAACAGTTTCCTTCTCGGTCTTGCTTAACGGATGTCCTTCTGAGACTTTCCAGCCTTCCCGGGGTATTCGTCAAAGAGATCCGCTATCCCCTTTCCTTTTCATCTTGTTATCCAATGCGCTCTCATTCCTGATTCAGAAACGGGTTGACAAAGGGGATATTCAAGGCATCAAGCTCAACATTAATTGCCCGACTCTCTACCACTGCCTTTTCGCTGATGATACTGTGATATTTGGTAAAGCAAATATGAGAGAAGCATCCCATATCCTTGATATTCTTAAGAACTATGGCAGTATCACGGGACAAGAAATCAATGACACTAAGTCATCCATCTTCTTCAGCAAGAATACCCCAACTGCTTTGCAGAATCTCATCACTTCCCATTGTGGCTTCTCTCCTTCAATTTGTCATGATAAGTATTTGGGAGTTCCTTCGGAATGGGGGAAGTCTGAAAAAGAGACCTTCACTTTCCTTTTAGAAAGGTTGGAGAAGAAAGCCGAATCATGGAAAAGCTTGCTCCTCTCTTCGGGTGGTAAGGAGACCCTTCTTAAAGCGGTCCTCCAAGCCCTTCCAACTTTTGTGATGAGTGTCTTTCTTCTCCCACTCTTGCTTACTAATAAAATGGATGTTATCCTCCGTAGATTTTTTTGGGCAGGGTCGATGAAAAAAAAAATCCATCCACTGGTGTGATGCTTGAACACTCGAGAACCCTAAACAGTTAGGTGGAATTGGTTTTCGTAATTTCCATCTGTTTAACTTGGCTCTTCTTGGTAAACAGGTGTGGAGAATCCTGAAGCTCTTTGGGTTAAAGTTCTTCAAGGAGTTTACTTCCCAGATGGAGATTTCTTGTTGGCCAAGAAAGGAAGGAGTGGATCCTGGATATGGAATGGCTTGTGCGACACGAAAGAGAAGCTGAACAGAGGACTGGTTCGCGTGGTTCTTTCAGGAGAGGAAACTTATTTCCAAGGAGATCCTTGGATCCCCTCCATTCCATCCCACGCTATACCTGTCACCGACCTCCCCTATTCTAGAGTTTGTGACTGGATTCTTCAAGAGGAGCGAGCATGGGATGTTGAAGCCATTCGGAATGTCTGCTCAGAAGACATTACTAACGCTATCTGTCGAATCCCGATTGGTCCGGCAGGTGCTAGCGACTGTTGGGCCTGGAAATTCACAAAATCGGGATCCTATTTTGTTCGCTCAGCGTACCACTCTCTCCGAGAGCAGCGTGACCTTCCCGTCCCGAACCACCATGATGGGACCAATCTTTTGGGCGATCTGGAATGGTCTTGGCTTTGGTCACTTGCCCTCCCCCCGAAGCTCAGATTCTTCCTTTGGAAATGCTCTAAGCGAGCTATTGCTACTAGGGAAAGACTCCATACAAGACAATGTGCCCCCAAGCCGAGATGTCCGATCTGTGATGCTCCGGTTGAATCTATTATGCATGGCCTCTTCTATTGTCAGCACGCAACTGAAACGTGGAACCTTTCCGGTCTGCTCAATGATCTCCCAGCACACTGAGCACAGGGCTCGTCTTTTGCGCATTGGTTTTTCGGGCTGAAGGATGACTTTAGCGACACTCACATTCGCCAGATTGTATGTTGTCTATGGAATATTTGGATTTCCATGAACTCCTTTATCTTTGACAGCGAGGCTTCTTCCCCAGCCTCCACGATAATTGTTGCAGGTCGTGATTTTCTGGAAATTGATGAAGCTCGAAGCACTGGAGCTTCCCGCCGACCTGCTCTTTTATCTTCTCAGCCGAGAGGTTCCCATCACAACATTGAACCACCGCCTACTTCCCGACTGATCCACTGCGACGGCTCGTTTGACTCAGAATCCCTCTCGGCGGCATATGGGATTACTATTGCTAATCCTCAGGGTCAAGTGTATGATGGCAAGGCTGAGTCTTTCTTTTGTTCTCATCCGATTCAAGCTGAGGCATTTGGGCTCCTCAATGCTATCTTGCTTGCATCGCAAGATCCAGTTCCTACTTGCATTCATCCAGATTGTCAAGTGTTGACTCTTGCATTGCATCAGGACCCGGCCTCCTGGCCTTGGCTTTGTCAAGCTTCCCTTGTGCGTATGACTTCCATCTTGTCCTCTTCGCCTTGGATTCGCATCGAGTTCGTCCCAAGGCGGTTGAACATGTTGGCGGATTGTGTTGCTTGTCAAGCTAGATTGGAATCTTTACCTGTGGATTGGATTTTAGTTTCTAATATTATTGCTCCACTGTTGTAATGAACTCTTCTATTTGCTTGCTCGGATGGAATGAAAGTTACCACTGTTAAAAAAAAAAGGAAGAAGCTTTCAATTAATCATGATATTTATCTTTAATGTTGAATCATTTGTATGGATAATTTGTGGATTGTTTGTATGCTCTAGATTGGTATTCTTTGTATGAATAATTTGTACGAGAAAATTGATGTTAGACTTTTATTTTGACAGAAATTTGTTATTGTGCATTTTTTTACCACAAAGCACATGTGTATCCATGAACCCGCGGATATTCAGCCGGTTGTGTTGGGTTTGAGTTTTCCAAACCCAATAAGTTTTACCCGAGTTTTTTTTACGGATATACCCACGAATTTGGCAAAATCCAACCCAACCCGCCCATTGCCATCCCTACTTCCATTCTTCTTTTCAATTTGTGATCTCCAATTGTTCTTGGTCTTGGTCTATTTCTCAAGTAATTGTAAGATTAAATTTAAGTTTTTATGGTAAAAAAGTTGACTCTTAAGTATTTCCTATATGGATGTAGTGTAAAATTTACAAGTTTTTGGTGATATTTATTAACTCTTTGTTAACCATTTACAAATAAAAATAATATATAGTATGCACTAAAAATTTAAGATGTTAAATGAGTCATACGATTATGTCAAACTAAATTGAAATGTGCATGAATATTATTCATTTCGATTGAATTATCATTTAAGCATAGGAAGTTTCACAAAGGTTTTTTTCTTTTTTCATAAGAAGTTTCACAAAGTTTACACAAGAAATAAATATAATTTAATCAATTATATCACAATTTCACAGGAGCATTTCACAAACAGGTCTCAAAAAAGAAAAAGAAAACAAATAAAAAACAGGGAGAAAAAAGAAACAAATTCTTTTTTTTATTTTCCACATCCCCAAACACAAAACCCCAAACAAAAAAAATAAATCCCCAATTCAAAACCCCTCATCCCGCCGTCGCCGCCGGAGTCCTCATTCTCAGGCATCATACTCCCCCTCCTCTTCCTCCTCCTCAAGCTCATCCCCGTCCGCCGCCGCATCCTGGTACTGCTGATACTCCGACACCAAATCATTCATGTTACTCTCCGCCTCCGTGAACTCCATCTCATCCATCCCTTCCCCTGTATACCAATGCAAAAACGCCTTCCTCCTGAACATCACCGTGAACTGCTCCGACACCCGGCGGAACATCTCCTGAATACTCGTCGAGTTCCCCATGAACGTCGACGACATCGACAGCCCCGTCGGCGGGATGTCGCAGACGCTCGATTTCACGTTGTTAGGGATCCACTCGACGAAGTAGGACGAGTTCTTGTTCTGCACATTGATCATCTGCTCGTCCACTTCTTTAGTGCTCATCTTGCCGCGGAACATCGCGGAGGCGGTCAGGTACCGGCCGTGGCGCGGATCGGCGGCGCACATCATGTTCTTAGAGTCCCACATCTGCTGAGTCAGCTCCGGGATGGTCAAGGCGCGGTACTGCTGAGATCCGCGGGAGGTCAACGGAGCGAATCCGACCATGAAGAAGTGGAGACGCGGGAACGGGATCAGGTTCACGGCCAGCTTGCGGAGGTCGGAGTTCAATTGCCCCGGGAAGCGGAGGCAGCAGGTCACCCCGCTCATCGTCGTTGAGATCAGGTGGTTCAGATCTCCAACTGATCGAATTATTGAGTAATTCAAATTCAAATTAGTACCAAACCTAACTTCCGAGATCTGAATCATACGGAATCAAAAGATGCATTTGAATTGTGTAATTGGAGCACTTACAGCTAGGGTTAGTGAGCTTGAGGGTTCTGAAGCAGATATCGTACAGAGCTTCGTTGTCAAGCACCATACACTCATCGGCGTTCTCAACCAGCTGATGAACAGAGAGAGTGGCATTGTAAGGCTCCACCACGGTGTCGGAGACTTTCGGCGACGGGAAGACGGAGAAGGTCAGCATCATTCGATCTGGATACTCTTCCCTGATCTTGGAGATCAACAATGTCCCCATCCCAGATCCCGTCCCTCCTCCCAACGAATGGCACACCTGAAACCCTACACATTTTCCCCCCAACACAAATCCACATTTCAATAGAATCAATTCCTCAATCATCATGGTTCTTAAGCACAAGTAAATTAAATTTGGCTACTACGACTATTATGCTAACGCTTAGTACGCTACCGCACATGCTGGCATCGTTGGATCGTGCTCAAAATCAGGAAAGTGTCAATTTTGTGTAATGACGTTACCTTGGAGGCAATCACAATTCTCGGCTTCCTTGCGGACGACATCGAGAACAGAGTCGATGAGCTCCGCGCCCTCGGTGTAGTGGCCTTTGGCCCAGTTGTTGCCGGCGCCGTTCTGGCCGAAGACGAAGTTGTCGGGCCTGAAGATCTTGCCGTATGGGCCGGTCCGGAGGCTGTCCATGGTGCCGGGCTCGAGGTCCAGGAGGACGGCCCGGGGGACATAGCGGCCGCCGCTGGCTTCGTTGTAGTAGACGTTGACCCTCTCGAGCTGGACCCGGGAGTCGCCGACGTATTTCCCGGAGGGATCAATGCCGTGTTCATCGCAGACCACTTCCCAGAACTTGCCGCCGATCTGGTTCCCGCATTGGCCGGCTTGGATGTGGAGGATTTCTCTCATTTTGCTAGGATGGCTAGTGGGCCGCCTAGTTGGGCTTTCGGCTGTGGGAAATGGAGGTGGGAGAATTGGAAGGAAGAGGAGGGGTAAGAACTAAGAAGAGATGAATGGAAATTGGAAAGGAGAGGGTTTTTGTAGGTGTTTGTGTTAGGAAGAAGATGAGATACTTGAGCTTGTGATGGGGATTGTTTTTTTAATTTATTTTAATAATAATTATTATTATTCATTTTTGTGTGAGAATTATGGAGGGAAAAAGGTGTGAGCTGGAAATGGGAAGGAGACAACCAGATGAATGTTGGGGTTTTTTTTTTGTCCTCATTCTATTTGTAAAGCATTGATTTTTACCAATCATACCTGATTTTAGGGGGTTTTACTTACTTTACCCTTTTAATATAATACTTCACAAGTGCCATTGGGATCTTGACCCTGATCTACTATCTTTTCTTATGTTGCCAACTGGAGTTAGATGGATTAAAGTTTTGTTTGTGTTTTTCGATTTTCATTTATCTTCCATAATATGTGGGAAGACAGATCCAACAATATCAACATGCACTGATCACTATTGCATCGGTATAGTGATACAATTGATAAGTATTGTTAACATGAGAAATTTTTCTTCCTAAAACGAAATTTGCGTTTGCTAATAGGAACTAGTTTGAGGAAATAAGAACTAGTATTTTTTGGTGCATTGTGCTTGTTTGAAAGGGTGATGGCAAATTATGAGTTGGGGAGGGTAGTTTGGTAATGGTATTGAAAGGTGACAAGGTAAGATTAGTTCAGCAATGTTAATCACGGTTAGAAAAGGATTGCCTCCTTTTTTTCTATCTATAATTATATGTAGGAAATCGTATTAGGTGCCTAAAATAAAGGGTTTAGAGATGATCAATGGGTGAAAATTGAGGGGATTGAGATTTGAGAAGCTCTAGCTAGCATCAATTATTGGGAAGTGGATGGAGATGGGGAGATTTTTGGTCAGTCTGTCTCCTATTCAAAGATTTAAGTATTTTTGTCTAGTGGCACATTCCCTTGTACTACCTCGCCCTCCTCAAGGGATACACAGTTTGGTATCCTATGCAGTATTACTGTATTAGACTCCCTCAAGAAAATTAGAACCTAGGTATCGATTATATGAAAAATAACCAAGACAATTAACTCCTGATTGGATATTGGTTGCGTTTTAATCATATTGAAGTGAGAAACACTCGAATTAATATAAGTATAAGATAGTTACATCATTTAACTTCTTGTTTTCTGATAAAAGATTTTCAATTTGATTATCTTGAAACATCACCTTAAGCAATACACACATTATAGTAATTAACAATGAAAATTTTGTGCCCCGCTCCCTATCTTGTGATCAGTAGTATTTGGAGATAATATTTTGTTTGCTCTGAGAAGGGGAGGGGCGATGATGAAGGCAGCTTGAATAGGAGTTTTGGGTTCACTCGATTTCTTCCTCGATCTTCAAAAAAGTCTGACAGTGAGAGTAAAAGGTGACATACTAAGACACCAAATGCTGGTGTAGACCATAAGCCCAAATCTCGAGTCTCAACCCCTCAACGCCTAATCTTTTGTTGTTATTACTCGAATGATATGAACCCTCACATTTCAATTAAGATACCATGATCCGAGTATTACTAGGGCACATTTTAATGTATCACGGTGTTGCTTTGAGATTCACCATTTTGAGAACCAGGAGAAACATGACGAGGATGTGGGAGGCATCCAAACATGGAATATGCATATGCAGCATAGTGAAAAGAGTAGAATATTACAACTGTGTTTCGACCACCGACGATCCACCCACCCACTACATTATTCCAAGGGAGGAATATAATGCTATTAATTATTATCATTATGTTATGATATTTGTCAATTCACAAATCAATAGCATTTTCTCAGCAACCAATCACACAGAAGGAGAAAAAAAGATCAGCAATGGCCTACTCAATTTATCAATCAATGTTTGAATGATTTCACACATTTCCAGCAGTGAGCGAGTAGAGTGATATCCCAGCTAAACCCTCAACCAACAGAACACTGAGTGGGCACCAGAGCTGGGAATAGATAGATTTTCACACAAGCCAATGAGCCATTGCTTCCTCAACATTATGATTCATTTATGTTTCTTTCCTTGTTGTTGAAGCATCATTTTCAGAGTCAAATCAACGACCACCTGCCACCATACTTAACAGTGATGAATATCAATGCAACAGATATGGATGGAAGGTCCCATCCTAAGCAAATCAGACTTCCATTCCATCATCCTTTTCTTAAATCTACATGCAACTTGATTGATTGGAAGTTGGAGCCCTCTCAAGGGGATTCAGCAAGAAAACAAAGAAGCAACAGACAATAATCCATAGACAGACAGGCAAGTTGTAATTTGGTGGGGGAAAGACAGGGAGAGAGGAACCACATGGTCAATGGTGGCAGCCACATGGCCAATGGATGGAATCACCAACATGACAGGAGGAGATATAATAGGTCACTCTCTAGTATCCTGCAGGTTAGTGGTGGATGGTTATGTACTGGATCGAACCGAAACCCACCAACCGGGTTTGTAAAGTTAAGCAGACCAGATCCACAAAGTGGCCATGGAAAGACCATTTTCTTGCATAAATGAGGGTTTACATGGACTGAACACATTTGCTAGTTCAACAGTTAACCACAGGCATCTTAAGTTACATTCCAAGAGGAGGGTCTAGTTTGTGAGAGGCCTCCTCTAAGGATATACATAAGGTTGGGTGACTTTTATTCTTGTGGGGTTATCTATTGGTCTCCCGAGAGAACCAGAAACCCACCTGCAGTCTGCAGATTACGGCAAAGGGCGTAGGAGGACAAACGTATTATACAAAAAAGTGGCAGCCATTGGAAAGTGCCAGTAAAATAACCTAATTGCAGCACTTTAGTACAGAAGCTCCTCAAAAACAGGATCAACTGATTGCCCCCATTTCCCATTGTACAAGTCCAAAAGCTTCTCGGCAGGAGTCACTCCTGCGATGATAAGCGTGACATCCATCAAGAGCATGGTAAAGACAATCACCGGAATGAGCAGTGATGCCAGAGGAAATGAAGTAGATTAAAGTTTTTACCTGTTCTGACTACTTCTGCCACCTCGTTCAAGAAGCCAACTTCCTTGAACCCTCTTCTTTCTAGTCCATCCTGCAGAAAGAAAGTGGCTTGCGAGGTCTGAGAATGGAAGTGGTTAAGAGGTTAGATCGAGGTTACCATTGACAGCATTAGGGTTACCTTGGCCAAATCCACAACATCTTGAGCAACGTGCTTTAGAAATCCATCTCGAAATGGTGTCTTTAACCCCATCCTTGGAACCTAAACTCAATTCATTGGATTCATAATCAATACAAACTGCATTCAGCTTCTGAAAAACGTTGGTTGTAAAGAAGTTATGAATTTGGACTTACCTTATCGCGTAACATTTGCCTTTCTGCAGGTGTCCAATCAGCTACCATGTCAAGAACATTTTGAAGGGAGACCTCATCATACAACAGTCCTACCTGATGAAATATAAATCAAACAATGACACAAGTTCATGAAACTTGAATGTTGGACCGCCACAAATTAGGTCTGATAAATGTAAATAAAACCCAGTTGATTACCCAAAATGCAGGCAACGCACACAACCTTCTCCAGGGTCCTCCATCAGCACCCCTCATCTCCAAGTATCTTTTCAGTCTAACCTCTGGAAATATTGTTGTCAAATGATTCTCCCAGTCATTAAGGGTCGGCAGTTCACCGGGAAGGGAAGGAAGCTTTCCGGCCAGAAAGTCCTGCAGAACCTTTGCTTATTATTTCTGAACCACACTGCCAGACTCCAAGCAATTTGCAACAGGAGAAAGCCTCAAATTACAAGAGTAATAAGGATAGATGGGAACCCGGAATGACATTCCAGTGCAGTCAACATATCTCTTGTTCCGATAAACGAAATACATGGGAACATCAAGAGCATAATCGACATACTGCTCAAACCTGCAAACAGAATTGACAACATAATTAGCAAACTGAAACTCACTTCATGCATTACTAAGTGACAAGGGAAAACCTTCAAAAATATCAATTTGTTCACAGCCAAGAGAGTCTTGACATACCCGAATGAGTTATCAAAGACGAAAGGTAACATCCCAGTGCGGTTATTGTCCGTATCAATCCAAACATGGCTGTTCCACAGAAAAAAGGGTCAATGGAATATCCACTTGATTTATATTGTTATTATGCCATTTGGGTGTAGAAGATCCATATGGAATGCACACAAGAATTAAGCACAACACAGTGCAGTGCAGCACAGCTTAATACCTTCTCATGCTGAGATATCCATTTGGCTTTCCTTCAGTAAAAGGCGAATTTGCAAAGAGAGCTGTTGCAATCTGTCCATTTTCCAAACTAGTTTAGTTACAGTTACTCTTAAAAACTTCCCAAAAACAAACATAGAGAAGTCTCTTACCGGTTGCATAGCTAAACCAGCACGGAATTTCCTTATCATGTCAGCTTCAGAACTGAAGTCCAGATTAACCTATTGATCATGAATCTCGATACGAATTAACCAAATGAAAAGCCATCTCTAGCATTATAAAAAAAGTACAGCATAGACAGCGGTAACAGGTTTTTTTTTTTTTTATCCAGACAGAGGTAACAGTTGGAAAGCATGAAATGGACCTAACCTGAACAGTGCAAGTCCTGAACATCATATCTAGTCCCAATGTGCCAACTTTAGGCATGTAGTTCCTCATGATATCATATCTTCCCTGATAATCACATTTTAGAAGAAAAGAGGTCAAAAAGCTTCCATAGCATACACAATGGGTTCTGGAGCTCCTGGAATAGACTGCTCATGTAATGTAGTTATGTAGAAAGCTTAAACAGTCATTCATGTCTGTCTATAAAAAACTGAAAGCAAATCTCCCTTGCCCCGGTGTAGAAAAGGATGAAAGCAAACATCTGATGCAATGCTTCCTTGTTCAAAAAGAATGGGGAAAAAGATGTAATGCTTCCGCTTACGGAAGAACCTAAAATTTAAAATAACCAATGATGAGTCTTTGAAATGATTTAGTGCAGAAGTCCTCAAAATTGATCTTACTATCCAACTAAATCCACAATCAGAGCCAAATTTGTAAAGACAAGTCTACAAAGAGCACACATGCATGGGTATGAAAGTGAAGAAATTAATAATTCAGTCTTCCAATGACAATCCCTTTTTCATTTGCATGTAGCTTCAAGGTCAGATTCTGGTATCTTAATATCTATATCAACCATCTGACGCCACATTTTAGACAATTACGCTTGAGATCACTCATAACCAATCATCAATTTCCCATTAACAATTTAAACAAACAAACATTTCGAACCAACTTGAATAAAAAAGTAATGAAAATACCTTGGGCATGATAGGTATGTCTTTGATTCCCCACTTAGGCTGGAACCCAATTCCTAAGAATCCAATTCCCATTTCTTCAGCAACAGCTTTTACCTGGTAAAAATTATTCAAGGTATTAAGTTGAACTCCATATGGTGCAAGTATATGGCCTCCCGCAGAACACACTAGATTGTGCCCGCAAATATGAAAGAAACATCCTATAAAGCCAATACCACTAAGCACTAGTGAAACTGGATTGTGCTTTTAAAATCAGCAAAGTAAATAATTCAAGCAGCCATAGAGTAGATGCATTAGACCCAACATTAAAGCTCCTTAAATCCCAATTACACTCACCTGATACAGGTGTGAGTTGACCTCAGCACAAGTTTGATGCAAAGTTTCAACAGGTGCACCACTAAGTTCAAACTGACCACCAGGCTCTAGTGATATGCTCTGTTTCCCCTGTTTCATTAAAAAAAGAAGATTTTATAAACATTCCAAGCAGAGAAGATATTACGAATGAAGGACCGTGAAAATTCCAATTACTAACCTGTTTGAGGCCGATGATGTATTCACCTTCCATTATTTTCTCCCAATCAAATCTCTCAGCAATACTATTAAGCAAATCCGCAATTTGCTCATATCTCATAGGACGTAAACTTCCAATATCAAAACCAAACTTCTCATGTTCTGTGCCTATTCTGTACAAAGTAGCACATATTGGATCAGCGACCGAAATAAGTTGAAACTCCCACACCACAACCAAGTAGGTATTTTGATATAAACTTGAACATAGCTACCACAAAGGCTTTCTCCCATAAGATAACAATGTGAGCGAAGCACTCAAAAGTTCTGTCGAACTCAGAACTCATAATCTTCAATTCAAAGGTGACGATTTCATCAGAATAAACATCATTAACATAGAGAAGATCTGGGATCCTTGAGTGCCTACCTAGAGAAGCCATGAAAATTAAGCCTATACAGGGGAGTCAACACAAACATCTATGTCTATGTCATTAAAAACCAGAGGAATTTACAAATAATTTATCAGCTTCACAAGGATACATTCATCTTTAGTTTACTATACAATACCATCATCACATTTTACAATGCAACACCCTTATCGCGAAACCAGACACTAACCTCCAGTTTTCTTTAGTCTTGCAGCCAGAGGCAAGGTATCCAACAAGATCCTCTTTGGTTAGTGGCTCTGCAGCTACTACAGCATCTTCTGTAGGAGGGCTTGCAGCAACAATGGCACTACGGCTTCTTTTGGTCAGAGTATCCAACCTCAGTAACCCGGAATTCTTACTTGACGGCGATGAAAATCTAAGATCCGATGGCTCTCTACTTTTAGGTACGACAAAGGGGGCACCTTGTCCAGCTTTACATTGCACAAAGTCCCTGGGGAGGGTACACGATGGACCGGCCTGCAAAAAGAGTGCCATTCCTGCAGAGAAACAAACTCAGTTAATGAAAGAATCCAGAAACTGGCTGCCCATCCTATTGCCCAAAACTAGTTTCTACCGATAGAGTACGGGTTCTACATAAACAGCCAATCCCAAAACCATTATTTCATATTTTTTTAACAAACTTCCAACCAACAAAGCATGGAAAACACTGATTAACTAATCCTGAAAGTAAAACTCGCCAATTACATATGCCAGCAACGGAAATTATCCCTCCAAAGAAAGTGGGTAAGAAGTTTTCCAGTCAAGATGGCAACTTTAGCACACATTCTTCCTTACTTCACATAATCAACTAGAAATGATGATCAAATACACAAGCGAAGGGGGAGAACAACATTACAGACGCAATCAAAGCCCTTAGTTGCCGAAGTTTGGCACCCAGATCAGGAAATACTCGAACTTAACACGGAAATCATAGGAAAAAAAGTAGAGGTGTTTCGTCACCTGAATTCGGAGGAGTTTCCTGACAGGACTGAAATCTTGAAACAACAATTAGACTTGGTTAGGGTTTTGCCCGCCCGCCCTCCTTCCCAATACAACGTTGTACAGACTGACTACTGGGAAAATTTTGTTCGATAAAGCTTTAATTCTCCTCTTTTCCTATTTCTTTCTCCAACACAGGAAAGGAGAAAGCCGCAGCCAGCCGGGTTCTTCAGAGGGAAGTGCCGTGCGGATTATATAGTGCTGCTGGCAGCAACTTTGTCTCTGCTGCCGTGCTGCGTCAGCAACTTTGTGGCCTCCTTTTTCTTTTTCTTATAAAAGGGTTAGTAAACTTTATACAAATATGTACTAATTTGATTCGAGATTTATGAAATATTAATTATGATTTAAATTGTTAATTATTTATATTAATTTGGTCCTAAGTCGTGGGTTGATCATCAAGTTGGACGGTTAATATTGTTGACTAACGATCAACGTATCATAATATTGTTATATTATCATATAAAAAAGTAATATTTTCTAATTCAAATAATTTATCCTAATATATATTATTTTTAATTTGAATTTTTTGATATTTTTATGATGACATGGCAATAGAAATGACACATTGACCGTTCAATTTGCGATCAACTCACGGGTTGGGCCAAATTAGTCTAAATAGTCAATAGTTTAGGTCATGACTGAGATTTCGGGTCAAATTGGTCTGTGGGTGTAAAACTTGAACCAATTTAAGGCATTGAACTATTATAAAATGCTATCGGAGGTTATATTGGTCAAATTATTTGTAGCATATTTTGTGGTACGATTATGGTTTAACCACTCATACCGGTATAATTCATTTTTTGTATAAAATATTATTTTTATAACAAAACGACAATATATGCTAAGTATCACCAAAATTATACCATATAGCAAATAATAAAATAATAAATATTCAATAAAAATAGCATAGCATACCATCATATTACAACATCCAATTAAGTACATATTAACGACAAAGAAATAACAATTAAAATGTTTACTCGAATAAGAAAATTAGTGGTTAAATGAAAAGGGTGAAATGGATGGTAACCTAAACATACTAGAGTAACACCTATTAAAAACAAAAACTAAAAACTAAATTTATAATTAAAAAATTATGTAGCATGGAATGTGTATTCATGATTTAGTTGGTTATTTTCCCTAATAAAGGCAATGCAACAAAGAGTCAAAGGGCGAACTAATAAAATGTTTAGAATACAAATAATTCAAACTAAAATAGGACAAATACTCTCCACCTACTTTGGCTGGGAACCTCTCTTTTAAATGGAACATGAAACTATTTAATCATCACTACTAATTAAGGAGATGAACATATGTCAGTGTATTGAGCGATTCATATACTAATAATAGGAATCTTTGACCACAAAAGTTATGTCTGGTTATGAATTGAAATTTGGAAATTAATATTATACCATAATTTATAATCCGGTTCTCCATACCCAAACTATATATTGCGGACAGAAGAAGCAGCAAAGGATGGAAGAAGGGGGGAAAGAGAATCAATCAGAGGCATAGGCAAAACGTGCACGTTAGTTAGCCCTTTGCCGTTTGCATAATTGTGGTATCAAGATCAAGAAGCACGCCTTGTCCCAACGACAACAAGAATAGATTTGCATGCATCAATTAGGCTCCGGACCAAATTAGTAACTTGGGCCCATTTGAACTGAAACCATTTCATAAGAAGTGAGCCCAGCCTAATAAGAGTAGTCAGACGAACAGATGTTTTCTGGGTTGACCACAGATTGCCATCAACAGTCAAATGTCCTTCTCGTTCATGGGTTTTCTTCTTTAAGGTTTATTATAGGGATGACAAAAATATTTGTAATAGTGTCCGCTCGAATCCTATCTAATTGGGTAGGGTAAAACCTAAACTCGAAGAACTTTTAGTGAAAATCCAAATCAGAAGGACTTTTAGTGGGTACGGGTAAAACTCGAACCCGAATATTGTGGGTAATGGGTGCGCACGATTTTCTCACTATCCAACCCGAACCGGCCCGATTATATACATGCATATGTATTTTGTCTAGTGTTAATCATTATTTTTTCTCTAACATATTTTATATTTAACATATAAATATAATATTTTCATGAAATTGTGTTGTTTTAATTAATTTTCTTCATTCTAGTGAATTATTGTCGTACTTTTCCTCTTATGTAATACGAGGATGCGTGTGAATGTTAACATATTGGATGGAGTTATAAAGAGAAACTATTACCCATGGATAACGGTGGATACCCAAAACCCGAACGGGTATAGACATGGTTTTAATTTTCTACTCATTTCTTATGTGAGTATGGGTATGAGTAAAACCCGAATTACTTTGGGTAAGATAACGGATATGCAATATCCGCCCCAACCCGACCCATTGCCATCCCTAGTTTATTAGTTATAAATCTTGTATTTGTGTGATCAGCCAGAAGCGGGGAATCTGGGGCGGCATAATCAATATTTCTTTTGGTCTATTTGGAATACATAATATAAAAAGACTTTCAGTGCTTAGCCAGGATTTGCTATAAGGGGGTGTCAAATTTTTTAAATAAATATATTTATATGAGAAATTATTAATTTTTGCAATGACTCGCAATATTTTTCTACTCTAATAAAACTTCTAAATTATATATTCTTCATCTAAACTATCAAATACCTTATTATCAATATATCCTACCGACTAGTTCTTCATAATTTTGTTAATCATTCCAATCCATGGCGAGGTACGGTAAAGACTCTCTAGTGCTCATGGATAGCCGATGAAAGTCAATTGAATGAAAAGGTAGAGTCGAGTGACTTAGCAACCATGTTTGAGAGAATTTTTTTGAATGAAATTGAAAAGAGAAACATAGCTAAATACTACCACATTTAGTTCACCTAGTGAGATTGTGACTATAAGCATGTGGTTCCATGTACAAGGTTTCATTATAAACAATCTAAGGGTTATAGTTATAATATGGCCATCTATTATGACGTTTTATCAAACATGTCCATCTACTATTTTTTACATCAAACATGCACATGTACTTTGAAAAAATTATCAAACATGCCCTTATATTAAACTTTCCATTGAAAAAATCGCCAATCATTGTTGAACCGAGATTTAAACGACCCGACCTCTGCAAATAGGAGCGAAAATGTCAATTTTGTCTCCCATTTTATTTCTCTGGGTCTCTTCAAAGTGAAATTATTTGAATTATTTGGCTATACAAAAGAACCAAAAAAATTCTAAAGTAAAATTATTAGAGATATTTTAGACATTTGTATCACCCAAACCAAAGTTCGGCCTTTGTTAACGGATTTTGGATGGAAATTTTAACATAAGGACATGTTTGATAAAATTTTCAAAGTACAGAGACATGTTTAATGTAAAAAATAGTTGAGAGGCATATTTGATAAATCATATATAGAAGGGCATATTTTACCTATAACCCAACAATCTAATATACTCTTTTATCAAGTCAAGGGTGTGCCAAGGCACCCCTCCTAACTCCTAACAAGCTACCTCCGCCCTCAAGGGTGTACCAAGGCAACCCCTCCTAACTCCTAACAAGCTACCTCCGCCCCCTGAGGATGTTGTAAGCTTTTTTTTTTTCTTTCTCCATAATATAATGATTTGGGAAAACTTGATAAATTCAAATGGTGTTTTTTTGACAATAATCACTTAGCGCCAATAACTCAAATGGATGGTGGGGTGAATTGGCACACGAGAGATCATATGTTCAATTTCCTCTATCGGTTAGTGTTCACCTTACCTGCATGCAATGTTATCATTGTGATCAAGGCAGTCAAAAGCGTGATTCTATTTAGAAGTGAAAATAGGTAAAATCGTAAAGCGTAGAATCAAAGCGTAAAAATGTAAGTTTTTTACGCATACTGTAAATTTACGAAAAATGTGTTAAGTACGACATATGCTATGTAAAATATGAGTACACATAATTTAGATAAGGTAATTAGGGGTGGAGTTTTAGTTGTTCGGTTATAACTGGTAACCGATCGGTCGGTTATCGGTTAACCGAACTGCCGGTCCCCTTACCGACAATCAATCGAAATAGGGATTTAGGCTTCGGTTATCTCGGTTTTCAGTTAACCAAACCACCTCCAAGACCAAAACCATCTCGGAAAGCCTCCGAACATCGACCGAATTTTGGTTCTCTCTGTTATCGGTTAGTGGATAACCGACCGATAATCGGTTTAACTGGTCGGTTAACCGGTAACCGAACCTCCACCCCTAAATGTAATAAATACATGTAATTCATGTCTAAACTCATAATATCCTAACAATAAGTTCATAGACATATATCTTAACAATAAGCTACCTTCCCCTTTATGCTACTGGTGAATTAGATTACTCTATTGAAGCTAAGAATGCACCCAAGTACCTGATATGTATCTTTTAATCTCAAATATATCATATTTTTGTGATTTGCCTTTAAAATATATTTTTTATAATTATTTTCATGAATAGAATACTCATTTAGTGAACTAGAAGCGTAAAGCATTTTGGTGAATCAGAAGCGTAAAAGCGTAAGCTTTTAGACTTTAAAGCGCATTTTAGTCCCGATTTTATACACTAAAGATTTTATATGGAAACAAAAGCGTTACGAACCTACAAGCGTAAAACCATAATTTTTTAAGTTTTAAATCGCAATTTTGACTGCATTGATTGTGACTAGGAGTTCCAAATTTATCATAGATAGACTATTCATTAATTTTTTTTTTTGGTCATAGACTGATAGCACAATTAAATAAAACACTTGGTGCCGCTCTTGGGCCTTAAATGCATAAACAATGGGTTGTAACTTTGGATGTATTAGTCGACACCTCTTCAACCAACCATCATCCATGGAGAAAGGTCGTTGGAAAATCGATCAGCAAAAGTTGCCTAACAACAACTGTCACTATCGACCAAACCTAACCGGCCACGACTTCTTTGCTACCACCCAAATCATTGCCTTGCCCCACCATTCCCCTCTTCGCTGAATATATCTCCAACTCCAACTATGGTTATTTAATCACTTGATCATGAACCATTATCAGGAAGACTCCATCTCTGCAACTCCTTCAAGAGTCAAGCTTGCTGCCACCATCAGTTATAGGAGACATTAACAAGAGAACAAGCAAATGAGCTGGTTCGGAGAACAACAGCAGTATCTATATATCTATAATATGGTACAGAAGATGTGCAAGTACATGACACTTTCAAGGCAAATCCAATGCATAATTTGCCTTCAAATCGTTATCCCACTGTTTCCCCCTTTTTTCTTTTGGTTCCTATTTCCCCTCATTGCCTTCTTCCCCTTTACAAATCAGCAGATCACATGCTGCTATAAAAGAAGACAATGCTACCACACTACCTTGTATCAATGCAAACAATTTGACATGAACAACCACAAATGGGAGGGGCACTGTACAAATTTTCATGCCTTTTTTTCCGCAGGGATGGCTGGCTACTACCAGAACATGTCGTCAACTCCTACTGCCCTAGATGGAAGATCATCTTCCTCTTCCAACTCCATCTCCGGCTCAGGAGACCCAAACTCTGGCGACTCGATATCAGCAAGATTCTTCAGATCGACAATCGACAGCTCATCTAGCCTCCTCACCACCATGTCAGCAGCACTAAGCTCATAAACTGGGTGCTTGCTAGCAACAGCAACACACTTCATCCTCACATCATGAGCAGCCTCCACGCTTTGATTCGAGTTGCCAAACACAATGCACCTCTCGGGTATGAACTGCAACAGCTGTGCAGCGTACATAAACATCTCCGGGTCAGGCTTCCCTCTGTGCACATCCTCAGCTGCTACAATCACACTGAAATAACCATCGATTCCAATCTTGCCAATGGCGCTCTCTAGTGTCTTCCTAGGACGGGTGGAGACCAGAGCCATGGGTATCTTGTAATTCATCAACACATTCACAAACTCTTTCGACCCATCTCGGAGCTGGTAGATTCCACCACCTTGCAAACCTTGGTAGATGTCTTCTTTCCTGGATGCCATTCTCCGGAGCTCTGAGGGATCTCTTGACCAACAGAGGACTTCAGACATTGCCTGCTCGTTCTTCATCCCTTCTATCCTCTTCAGTAAGAAACCAGGTGGAGGGGATTTGCCTTCCTCCTCAGCTAGAGCAAGCCAGGACTGCTTCTCGAGTTCTGCATTATCTTCAATTATGACACCTTCCCATTCGAATATGGCACCTAACCAACCACATCCCATTCTTTCTTGCCTGAGTAATGGGTTGTGCAGTGAAGGGTTGTCAGCTCGATTCTCTGGTGGCCACAGACCTGGCTTTCTATCGACATCTGTATCCTGACCATGGTTCCAGTTTCGTGGGATCTTCTCATCTTCTTTGAATGCATAGGCCTCGTTCTTCCTTAGCTCTGTGGCTAGGGCCTTGATTGATGTGTTCACTGAAACGTTATTAAGGCCGGATTTAAGGCAATAGGGAGCCAAAGTGACGACCTTCCTGCCCATAAACTCCGTTAGAGGCAACCTACAGTTGTAGGAACGTTGCTTTCTTGAGGAAGAAGGGTCTTTAACCGAAAATCCCCAAACAAACGGCCTGTACCCAGCGATGGAAGTTGCTGCAATTGATTCCGCCATGCTCACAAGATGCAATTACAAACACCTACAGCTTCAGAGTCCCCTTCGTCCTTCCAAACTCCAAGAAGAAATACCCTTGTTGTCCAATTGTAATGCGATTCCACAAGCCCTAATCCAATACGCTAAACGATTAGAAGACCATAGCTTTTTCAGAAAGAACTGATAAATTTCAACCAAAAATAGGAAACCATTTGTCTCAATAACAACTACTATACCAGCCAAACTAAGCACAACCCAAGAACTCAAATATACGAAAGCTACCAAGTCCCAGCAACCCAGAATCCCCCAAATCCCAGAAAGAGAAAGCAAGTATATACAGTAATAACCCTCGCCAAATTAACAAGAAAGTCGCATCCTTTCAGACCAAATTAGAATCAAGAGGCGGAAATCTACAACGCTAATCTATGGATATCATACATACAGAGACAGAAGCACGGCAAATGGAAAGAAGAAAGAAGAAGGAGAATAGGGGTTATTAGAAACCTGGAAGCAGAAGATCAGGGAGGATTTTCGAGCAGCAGGAGGAAGAATCAATGGCGGAAACAGACAAGATTCTTCTTCGTCGACAGAAAGAGGGGGGAATGATGGGATGGGAATGGCTTATGGATATGGGAAATGAATCTGTGTGGGTGAGTTTTTGGTTTGTTGGAGAAGGAATCGGAAGATGAATGCAGCAGCCAGCCAGGGGCTTTCTCTGAGACTTTTATTTCTGATCTTTATTCCTCTTTTTCCCCCTACTTTTCTGTGGCTTATAATTACAACAACAAAATGAGGAATTTGACGGGCGAGGCCGGTGGAGGTGATCATAGTGATGGACACGTGGCTGTTAAATGAAGTCCACACGTTGCCTTGATTCTTTCTTTCGTTTGCGAGAAACTTCCTTCTCCATGATGATTTGCATTTTGATTGTACTGGATGTGAAACCCTTTCTCAAAAGAAGTTGGAATATAAGGGGTCGTTTGGAAATTGTGATTCTTCAAATTGATGTATTAGGTCAATTAGTGTATTATCATTTGATGTATTGATTCAATGCATGTATTAGGAAAATACTTTGTTTGGAAGAGCAATGATGAAACAAAAAGTAGGGTAGACAATCCCTCATTAACAATCTCACCTTTTAGTAGAGATTTATAATCATTCATTTTGAGTGATTGTAGGTGGGCCCAACAAAAAGGTAATGCATGCATTCTAACTCAAAGTGAACCAAAAAAACGACTTAATCTTATCATTACATGTATTTGCTAAATACCTCACTTCAAATCTCAACCTCCAAACGACCCCTAAGTCAATGATATTGGATCGTTGAGTTAATTAAGAAAAATATGTAGGTAATTTGGATTAGTTAATAAAGTGGGGACAATAATGCGAAACAAATAAATAATGTGCACATAGAAATATTTTATATGGCTCAAAAGAGGGTTAAATGCATCGGGTGCCACTTAACTAGTACATTTGTTGCACATTAGCCACTTAATTGGATTTGGTTTCAACTAAAGTATTTAAGCCAAATTTTGGTAGCAACATCAGTATTTCCGTCACAAGACGTAACGGCAAGTACTAAATTGCAATTTTCCATAACGTGCTGGCAATCCCTATCAGCAAAGCTGTTGAGTCATCGTCGCATCCAATCATAATTAAACAACCATGTCCGTCCCAACGGGATCGATTCGAAACAAAGCTTTCGTAGCTCTTACGCTACGGGACCCACCTCCTTGTCCCCTTTCCTCCACGTCACCTCACTCATCTCCTTCGCTTTCCTTCTCACCTCCCCAGTCCCCTCCATCACCAGTTCTCTAATCACCTTTGCGATTTCCCCTCTCTCAGGCTCCCCATTCCCGTCTCTCTTCACCTCTACCCCAACTCCAATTTCTTCCACACTCTCGCATTCATGAGCTGTCCCAAATAGATTTCCCGAATTAGGTCCCCGGAGGGGAAGAATTCAGAACTGAAGGAGACGAATACAACAGAGCAACTCTTTTTCCAGTCCAACCATTCAATGATGTCGTCTCTGTTCTTCCCATCTTGCTCTGTTTCATCATCTACCACTAGCAAGGGACTCACGGGGAAGAACTTCTTTCCGGTGAGATGGTTTAAATAGTCGAGGTAGTTGCCTCCGATTTCTCGAAATGTCTTGATAATTACTACCCGGGAGGATCGTTCGGTGCAACACTCGTATCGAGTTATGTCCATCATACTGTCGGCAGTAGCGGATTCCATCAACTCGCCAAACGTTTCCTGGTCCCGATCCCAGAGACGAATCGAATTTAACAGGATTGACTTTTTCTAGGCACTAAATTTGTAGAAATGGGAAGCCATGGCACACAATGCGGCACTAGTGGTGATGAATTCGACGAATTGGATGTGGAGAAGGGAAGCGGCTAGGCGAGGTGCCCAGGGCTCGAAGAAGTCGTAGATGACAAGGTCTGGGGATACAGAGACGAAGACGGTGGAGAAGGCTGAAATGGCATCGTCGAAGGAGGACTTGAGTGAAGGCATGAGGCGAGAAGGAAGGTCGTTGGCGGTGTGGTAATGGGGAGGGAGTTGTGGGGAGGATGAGAGACGAAGCTCCACCAGTGTGATCGGTGATGAATAGAGTTTTGGTTCTAATGGGTGAACATTGACTGGTGTAGGTGTTGATAAGTAGACACTGAAGTTGCCAGTGGAGAGGCATTTTTCGAGTCCCAGGAACAGGTAGACATGGCCGTCACCGTGAGCAGGGAGATGAGAAGTCGACCGATCAACTTATGTCTTTGCATGTTCGTGGCCCACGGTTTGATGTGGCGATGACTCAACAACTTTGCTGACATGGACTTCCAGCACGTCACGGAAAATTTCCATTTAGTACTTGCCGTTACGTCTTGTGACGAAAATGTCGACTTTGCTACCGGAATTTAACTTAAATGGTTTAGTTGAAACCAATTCCAATTAAATGATTAGTGTGCAACAAATGCGCTAGTTAAGTGACATCTGATGCATTTAACCCGCTCAAAAGATGTGCACTTATGGACCCATACGACCTAGAACGACTAATATGTTTCAAATGTGCTCAAATACACATAGATCTGACAAGTTTCAAGATCTTATTTTCGTTAACATGAACCACCTTGTTTAGAACGGGATAAGTATTGTCAAACAATTATTTTATATTTCGAGATAACATATTATAAAAATTCACAATTAATCATCTCCATCTGTCTCTTGTATCAAAATAAACAATAACTAAATTTACGAGTAAACTCAATAAGAACTTTCTATATTGTAACATATTAGAACTTTGTAACACATAGAAAGAAGTTCCTTTTAAGATCACCTCTATTATATAGACACAATTCACCACTAATTTCTCATATACATAATAATGTGAATTTGGATATTCAATGCTATATTTTATACTATTGATTGAGGTGACTTCTAAGTCTTAACTCATTTATGTCATGATTGGGGATTAATATTAAGAGATAGGGTATGGATTTCGTGTTGGGTTTTCATTATGCAAGTTTGGCATACCTCTTTCTAGTGGGATTGACGACAATTTGATATGTGATTCAATGGTGTTGTGTGAAGGTTCTAATTGAAGTGACATTCCGAAGGATGCAAAAAGCTTTCATTAATAAAATCAGGGGCTTCAAGGTTCGTGATACAAGAGGAGGATTAATTTTTTAGGAAATTGTTCGTCTCCGACAACATTATTGAACCTTCTCCATAGTATTTAGAGGTAGACAAAGCAATCGAACGACTCATTTGGTGGTTAATAAGATTTTTTTTCTTGCAAAGTGAAATTGAATTTCGCCACTATTTTTTTTTTACTGTAAATAATGGTGTCTTTGATTTCTTGGTAATAAAAGTGAACTCTATGGGGAAAACACACATTATTATGCCTTGTACATTTTTTCTGAAAAAGGAGAAAAAGCCCCAGCGTTTGATGCGAAACGGCGTCGCATTGAGGGTGAACCGACTGGTTAGGACTTGGGAGTTAGGACTCGAGGCAAACTGACGAGGCGAAGGGAAAGTTGTGTTCGTGTATAGAAAACTGGAAATCAGGGATTCCGTCGATTTCAACACAAAATATCGTGTGACTAACTTTTTCGGTACAATCTCCCGTATATGATTTTATCATCTTTCAAAATTACTGCATTGTGGAATCTTAAGTAGACAGACAAACCAACATAATTTTCACAGTATTGTATTGAGTACACAATCCAATAGCTTAAGTTTGAAGACGATGAACGAGAATGACTGCTTCCACCGGCATAATTTTCAGCAGAAAGAGTGGGTAGGTGGGAGACTTGTTGGTATGCGGTGTTTTAATTGAATCCGTGGAGTCCGCGAAATGTGAAATGAGATGTTGCTAGTAAATGATCCTTTAATTAATGTAATGTAATTAACAAAGTCTGAGTTGTGGCTGGATCATTGAATGCTTTTGTTCCCTCAACAAGGAAGTCAAAAGCCCACTACTTGACTTGAGCCATGAAAATGAGAATAATAATTTGTTTCATTTGCAACCACTCGATCATTAATGCCGCATTCATTTCAGTTTTTATGGGTATACGAAACGGTTACTACTAGAATAAAAAAGGCCAAACTTTCTTTTTTCCTTTTCAGACATTTTTAAGCAGCCTCAATCAAATCCAGCTGATTGGCCTTTTAACCTATTCTCTTAGAATGCTAAATGATGTTTAAATCGGAGCAAAAACCATTAGCCTTCCACAATCGAAAAAACAAAACCAAATTGATAGCCCTAATCGTGGTCCTCTCTATTATGATGGGTGTATTGAACATTATCTTGAAGGAGAGCGAACCCATCGAGCCAATCTTGTTAACACACATCCGCTCCCAACTGATTGGATTTGCTTCTTTGCATAAAAAGAAGAATGCATGACGAAGTCACTTAACATTGTGTTGTTATATTGGATCGAAATATATCAATTATGTGGCCATCAAGATTAGAACGTCCTACATATGAATAACTATTGGTTCGCACATCGATTTGTAATCTATATCTAATGGACATAGGCGATAATGATTTGTGGAACATGCAATCTAAGGACCATCATTGTTGTAGATGTTGTAAACGAGAAAAGTTATTCGGGGTAAGGGATGATTGGGAAGGGACACAAATAATTACCATCCGATTATTGATAGTACGATACAAATTGCTAGCTCTTTCTTTCCTTTTAGCTTTTGTCTTCCAATGATTGCCTCTGAGAAATGGGGACTCATCTCGTCATCTTACTAAAGATTTTCGTAATAAAATGATCATCATCTTGCTTTCTTTCCATAGTAATAATATTACAACAGTGAAATAGTACGGGGAAAGGCATATATTTAATTTATTGGGAGGTGGTAAAAATGAACACACAATAAATCCGATACCTTAAATGAAGTATTTCTCAAATAATAGATTGCGAAAATTGAATCGAGAAGCAAAGGGTTAAATAAACCTTCGTGCACTTCCCCATTTGTGACATCACGATAGAATTAAGTTGATTGTAACCTAAATGGCAAGATAACCTTGATTAATGTCTTTGTTTTTAATATTTGGATAAATGATTTATGGAGACCGAATAGAGACATAATCTGGTGGTGGTATTTTTCAGGTGTGACGACTTGGAGAACTATGAATGGACAGGTTGATAAGTACACAACGAAAGCTGTGATGTCAGTTCCTACCACTCACCCTCCTCCTTCTTCTTCTTCTTCTTCTTCTTCTTCTTCTTCTACAGAAATCACATAGCTAGACAGCGACCTGCATTATATTATGTTAGGACTTAGGACCAAATATTCTCAGAAATAGAAGAGAAAACAACAAAAGAGAAAGGGGAGATGAAAAGGAGAAAGGGATCAAACTCTGCCACATGACGCTGTTCTAACCTCCTATGTACCACAATGTTTGGGGACCCAAAGAAAGTGTAGACACAACCTTGGTAGCTATTGGACATGAACTTCCTTTTCATCATGTAGATGAACAGTATTTTTAAAATTTTTTATTTTTAATGAGTAGGATCTTGAGGAACATTTCGGGCTTATTATGTAATCAATAAACACATAGTAAATTCACAAGATTTAAGTATTTAGTCTTGTTCATTATGATAATTGATTTTTTTCCCCTTTTCTTTAGGAATAATAAGTTAGTAAGAATCGAATGTGAGAGCACACCATGTTAATTTTCATCCTTCATCATTTGGATTGGTTCTTGGTGTTTATTAATTTTGTTAATTGGCAGTGGACATAAGATAAGAGCATGTCTATTTATTATGAGCTTTGAATTTCCATCACTTGTAAATTGATCTTATGATGGGAAAATCTTATGAAAAACGTTTAATCTAAAAGTAAATAAACGGAGGGAACAAATAATAAAGCCAAGTTGGTTCAGGAAGGGAATCTAACCACCTTTCAGCCAAGGAACAAGAAGGGAAAAAAAGGATAAAAAGGGGCCCAGAACCAGAAGCCTATGGGCTTTGTCATGACAGCTGGGGACAGTGTGGTTATGTTAAGGCCAGTACATCTCCAAATTAAGCTCTATAGAGGTTGGCAATATGATATGGCCCCCTCCTGTGTTCAAGATCAAATTGCCAGAAATTTATCAGACCCTGTTCCATTCTTACTTTCTCTACGAACTGTGCTGGGTTGGGATATCTCAAGCAGGAGGTCGATTCGGAGTTTCAAACCTTCATCCTTCTTCTCCCTAACATAGTAGATCCACTCGCGGCCATTCTCGAAGAATGCTACAATGTTCATTGCAACATTCTTCCAGGAAGTGAATCTGCAGGTGGCAGATGCTCTAGTGAGGGCAGGGGTATGAATGTTAGATATAAGGCCCCGATTAAAGTTAAATCAATCCTTTGTATAGATAATAGAGACACCACAAGTAATAGTTCACTTGAATTTATCAAGTCCATAACATCACGCAACACCACCTCAAAAAGAAAGGACACAACATTCATGGTGCAGATGGACCATGGTTCAAAACAACATTTGAAAGTTTGCACATAACAATTGCAATCATGCTTTGAAATCTCTTGTCTAGTAGAGCAGTGCGGTTGAAGGTTTGCAGGGGCCAGCTTATGTGGAGCACATTTCTCCAAGAACAACCTGTACAATTGCATCTTGCTTTATCAATTTGATCGAATATATTTGGTTAGTTCGATGTCCTTTCAGTTCAATGTCAAGGAGTCTCGTATGTTTCAAAGTGTTCAATGATTTAGGTGCTGAAAAAGCTCAGGAAGATGTGCATTAGTGAGCTTGGTCCTCTTGCTGATCTCGTGCTTCTTCTTCTTCTTAGACTCCGACTTCGGGGGGATGCCATCAATTTGTGCTGCAGCTCTCCTCTTTGCAGTATCTGTCGCAGGCTTCATGCCATTCTTCTGCAGATCCCTCTCAATGTCGAGCATGTCGAGAGGCAATGGAATCTCCCGAAAGAGTTCTTTTAGGTCATCATCCACCTTGATGATTACCTTAGGGTCATTAGGATAAGCAATATCCTCCTTTGAATCAAAGTTCGACATCAGCCATATTTTGCCTTCAGTTTTCAGTTCCTAAGTAAAATAAGACAAGAGCACAAGATAAGTTTGTTTCTTGAGGATCTCCCGTGTGGGAAATTTCTTTGTCGCAGTACATTGTTCCATACAGTGATTACATTCCGATACCAGCAACAACATGGAAACACATAAGTGTGACCATTAGAAATTACATATGTCTAGTTTCGTAATCTTTGATGCTAAGTGCATGGACTCTAAGGGTTTCACTGCAGCATTCAGCTCTCACAGCAGTAACTCACAAGCAACTAAAAGGAAGGCATATTTTACCCAACAAGTGTCCAAGCCTACAATACGCACCTGTAGGTCTTCCATGACACGGGGGTATGCATCCTTAAGCTCAATGACAGCAATTCCCAGAGAGTACCGCCGAATAAATTTAAGTAGTTCGTCCTTGTTCAGCAAGTTATGTGTTGACTGTAAGCAATTCAAAACCAAGAATGTCATCTAACATGATACGTGGGACACAATTAACCAATCTAGAGCACAATGATTGAGCTTTCAAATCCAAAACTGTACTAATCAACAAGGATTAGCTGAGACCCTCATACTACTTCACCTTATAGGAGAAACTCCTCCCATCGTAGTTCACTTTTGGATTTGCCTTCAAACTGTCAAAGAGTTCCTTGTTTAGTCTAACATCAACATGTGTGGCTTCATTTATCTGGTCTGGAGTGAATGCTCTCCTTGTCTGTGAAAATACCATACATAATTGGTGAGACACGTCAAGTGAGTTAGCTGTCTTTGCTTCAGAACATTAAACACGAAATTTGCACAGAGATCACGAGTTTCTGCCGCTCACTCAATATTGAACCGTATGACACTCTACTGAACAGATCATCCGCATACCTACACCATCCAGATTTTTTCAGTAACTCATTTTTCCCTATTAACAAGACTTCATCTGGAGCCTAGAAACACCAGAACACTACAATGTAGGTGTGAAGTTGCTGACCAAGCTTCTGATAAACCACAAACGCACTTTTTAAAGAGGATCCGTATCTCCTAAAATGGCTAGCTAAACAACCAAGCTGCTGGATCCAACTAGCCAACGATGACTTGTAGTTTTTAGGAGGACCCATTTGTCCTTGCAGAATGTCTCAACCAAAATTTAAGCAAAGCTAGTCATGTTCATCACAGGACATACAATAAAGGTATCAACAACCAAACCTTGTCCAAGAGCGATATAACACGCTTCATCTGCGCCCCGACGGGAGCCTTCCGGATGCCATTGATGAGTTGAAGCCTTTCTGTATCATTAGAGAACTTGATACTGTTGGGAGCAGGACTTTTCCCGCTGCTTGCTGCAGCACCATTGCCGGAAGGTTTCTGAGAAGTGTTGGAAGATCCAGCCTTGGCAGCCACGTTCTTGATCGTCGAGCACCTCTCTGCCTGCTTGTTGAACTTGTCCAATTTCGCCTTATAATCCATCTATGAAAAGCTCAAAAAAACCCCAACCAATTCTCAGTTACACAATAGAGAAATCGATCACCAAATCGGAAGCACAATTGGAATAGTATAATCACGAATCAATCAAATCTGCAAGCCTGACATTTTCTCGTATCCTTTGGGTCTCCGATCAAAACCCGAACGTTTGATCAGAAACCTAAGCAATTTCGAGGAGAGATGCTGGGTATCTCAGATGCAGGAAGAAGATTAGCAGAAAAAGAGGATTAGCAGTCTGAATCGGAGAGAAGAAAAAAGGAAACCTTGCGCTTCCGTGAGAGGAGAGCTGGCTAAAGTCGGAAGGGAAGGCAGGGGAGCTTCGGCTTCAATGTTGGCTGTCGCTGGTTGGTCCGGTCATTTGAAGAAATATATAATTATATATATTTGGATTTTGCTACGGTGACATGCATGTCACCGTGACATGCACTTTTCGGTCGACCGAATACACCTTGCGGTCGACCGAATGGGCTAATTCACGTATGTTGGGTTCCTGAAGGCGGTCGACCTCTAACAAAATGCGGTCGACCGTTTTGGTGGTCTAAAAGAGCAACAGGTCGACCCAAATATCTCATAGGCCGACCCTTGTGCACCTAACAGGTCGACCGCATTGGGAAGAGGTCGACCGCCTTCAGACCGTATCCGTATTGGATATGGATTCCAACACCAGAAAGGTTCCACAATTGGACAAGGAAACGAATTAGGTCGACCCATTCACGTCCAAATCTCTATAAATACGAATATGAGTCCCCTTAAACGCCACCAAGTCTGAATTAGGTTTTTTTCCGACTTAGAGCCTTTGTGAAGAAGATCGTTCGCGGTTGCTGTTGTACGTGTTGGAAGTGGTCGACCAGGTCTAAGGTGAGGTCGACCTAAAGTAGCATTCACCGTCTTCTTTTTTAATGCGTGATTTCCACCGGCTAACTTGATATATTGTTGGGTGCAGAATCCAATTCGGTCGACCGCGACGTCCACCAGGTCGACCTGACGAGACAATTCTTCGTATTTGAATTTAGGCCATAACACTGGGACTTCTGTACTTGCGAGGTAACCCAATCGGTCGACCTAATGAGTTTCAAGGTCGACCGTATATGTTTTTTTTTGTTATTCAACCTGAATGTCGACTTTGGCTTTGTTTGTATCACTATGTTGTGCTTGAAAAGGTCGACCGCGCCAGATATCTGGTCGACCTGTCATTTTTTCGGTTTAATTTTGAACTTACTATATGTTTGTAATTGTTATTTTCATGCTGGATAGGTCGACCTAGGAATAACCGAGGTCGACCTGACGAGTTGTGGTAGTCACTATTTGTACTTGAATTATGATTTTAATTTTTCTTTAAATTGTTTAGACGATGACGCATGATGAGAAACTGCATCAAGATTTGGGTGAAATCATGAAATTGTTGAAAGCCACACAAGAGAAGCTGGTGGTGTGTCAAACACAAGTCGAGCATTTGTCAGTTCGACTGACAGATATGACTGGGATGATGCATGACGGGTTTGAGAGGCTAGAAGGTGCTATCAAAGATATAAGTGCAGAACGAATGGAGAATGGCGGAAGAAATGGTGAAGGAAAGAAATTTGACTTTGGTAAAGAGGAGGAAGACCATGATGACTCTGAAAATTGCTACCAGAGCATAGACGATTTATTGAAAGAGCACATTTTAAAGGTATCCAAGTATATTCATATGTGATTGAAGATATTAGTATTACTATCATTAGTGCTAATCTGTTTTGTTTATATGTTTGACAGAGTGAAACAAAGAATGGCCGCAAGGGTTCCTCTCCTAATTACAAGAGACCGCGATATGAAAGTGACTCCTACACCACTCCACAGAAGGATCAATTTGTAAGAAAGGGATTATTTAGTGATGATAGCGATGAAGATGAATCTAAGAGTCCTTTCGAAAAGCACGGGGTAAGTTTACGTTACATTTTCATCTATAATGTGTGTTTGTGTTCATATGTTACTTTAATTTTAACTATGATTTGTAGGTCATGAAAGTGGAGGGTCTAGAAGGATTCACCAAAAATCTTCAAAATCCAGTTGAAGACTTGTATTATGTTGTTACTAAAGAGAAGGTTGGGGACAAGAATTGGGACAAGTAAGACGTTTTTCTAGTACGTGTGGTCGACCGGTTGTCCAATACGGTCGACCGTGTGTCCAATAAGGTCGACCTTGACTGTGTACAGGTCGACCTGTACGTTGCAAAAAAACAATTGACATTTCTGTTATCTTGTTTTTTGCAGTTTGATGATTGTGGACTTTTTTTCTGAAAACCTGCAACGACATTATTTGAGTTCGGTCATTAGCGAGAAAAGCTGGGTTTGCTCATCAGTAAGTACTATACTACTACGACTTTCGTATGAATTGTGCACTATTTATGTTACGATTTACGATGATTTTGTGTTTTATTGTTGGATGGTAGGTAGTGGATTTGTGTGCAAGGGCACTAACAATGTCTGAAAAACATGATGTGAAAGAGCCAAATGTGTGGTATTTTCCAAATATGTTTTCGGTAAGAGCCGTAATGTCAAATTATTTGTCATAACCTAGTTATTTATACTGTACCATGTCAATTCATCTCAACTAAAACATGGTGCAGAAAATGGTACGCGCTAACATGAAGACCAGACAAATTCGTAACAAGTTGATGAATGATGGCGTGGACTTTATGCCGAATGTCAGTGCATGCCAGAAGGTTAGTCTAGTCAATGTCCCTATATCATTAAATTTCGAAAGTGCATTTGTTTGTATTCGCTGTTTATAACATATAGTGAGTGTTTCGTTGCTAGATATTTATGCCAGTTCTTGAAGATGAAGCACGTCATTGGTTTCTGTATCTCGTCAATGTCCAGCAAAAAACTGCATTTTTGCTTGACAGTCTATCTTCAACTAGTGAGGCGAATCGTAGGCGTAAATCAGAACTATGCAAGAAATTGGTAAGTGTTTCCTATAATTTTCTGACTACTAAGCGTTACGTAGTATGCTAGAAGTTTAAAATATTCGTTATTTGTGTGTAGTTGTCCACTTTGGATGATATTTTGAAACCAGAGCGCACGAGCAATGTAGTAGTACCAAATTTTGGAAATTTCAATTTTGATGAGCTACCAGTTCAACGACAAAGGAATAGTACTGAGTGTGGTGTGCACGTCATGCAGTGGATGCGCTATGGATCCAAGGATCTTGATAGAGTGGTGAGTATATCGTCAAACAAATAACTAGTATAATTTACACTTTTTTAGTTGTAACGAAATCTTACATGGCATAATGCAGATAGGAGAAGAACACAAATTACCGGCGCGAAAGGAGATTCTATGGTATCTGGCTACACATTTTGAAAACCGTGCACGAGAAAATCTTTTCAAGCATGTAGTAGATGAATGCATGGAACGAGACAAAGAGAGACAGAGTTCCAAGAAAAAAGCAAAGAAATGAAGTCGTTAAGTTACAATGTTGCATTATTTGGACCATACATTTATTTTGTATTTGCGAGATCGTTTCATTATGGATTTTGAATGTTTATCGTTTATTAGATTTGTTATACAATTATGTATGTGACTGAATGTACGATTTCAATCGTCTAGAACAAGTGGTCGACCACATACTCAAAGCGGGCATACCCAAAGGCAGAGCACAGGTCGACCTCGTGAAGCTTAAGGTCGACCTATGATACCGTAGGAAAGTCAAAAACCATGTAAAATAAGTATGGATACTCGTCTGTTTGGCCTTAAGAAAAGTACGGTCGACCATTCTTGTCAAGAGGTCGACCTGTGCTCACATTTATAATCATTGGTCGACCATTTCTGTAAAGAGGTCGACCTGTTTCACATTTACAAACAACGGTCGACCATTTGTGTAAAGAGGTCGACCTGTTTCACATTTACCCAAGACGGTCGACCATTTGTGCAAAGAGGTCGACCATGATGATTCCTGTCCTTGTACAATTAGGATTTGGTGTACTTGTCCTTGTCGAATTATGATTTTATATATCTTGAACCAATTGGATAAGGAATTCGTCCAAATTATCTATAAATAGATGGGAGTCTTCAGACATTAATCGTACCACGAAATCTTACAATTTGTTTGAGTGAAGTTATAATCTCATCGCTCTTATTGTGACCGGGTGTTGGTGGCGGTTTATTTTTATTCCGGTAGACCGTAACAATAAGTGGTCGACCTCGTTGCTAAGGTATGCCTCGTATATACTTGTTAATGGTTCTATGTGGCTAAATTTTTCCCACCATCCGGTCGACCACACACAACTTCCGGTCGACCGTTCTTTCGTAGTTATATGATTAGGTCGACCTTTCAGTAAATTAGGTCGACCTTATGTTCGTTATTTAGTAATAAGGTCGACCGTCCTGTTCATTGAGGTCGACCTGACGAGAGCTAATTGTGTATGTTTTGACATTAAGTTCGTATTCCGATCGTTGCATGTTTGTTATTTAGTAATAAGGTCGACCGTCCTGTTCATTGAGGTCGACCTGACGAGAGCTAATTGTGTATGTTTTGACATTAAGTTCGTATTCCGATCGTTGCAGGATGGATAACAGAGATGATACAGACGATAGAGATGATGATGAGGTTAACTTCGATGAGGAACCTAATGATGCTCGAGAAGGAGCTATGGATAATTCAGATGATACAGATAATACCGATGATGAAGTGTTTGGAGATGATTATGAAACCCAGGGTGCAGAAGAAGAATTTATGGATGATGAAGAAGCTACTGAATATGAACAACAAATTCCTTCCATGGAGTTCGAAACATTAGAAGATGCAGAGAAATTTTACGATTCCTATGCTAAAGCGAAAGGATTTAGCGTTCGACGTAGAGATCTTCGGAGGAGTCGTCGAGGAGTAGCAATTGGGAGGACAATGGTATGTTCGAGAGAGGGGACTAGAGATAAGATGCATATAGATAAAGAAGGTCGGATTCGGCAACATCGTAAGATGACAAGACATTCTTGCAAGGCATCGTATACTGTACGATTTGATCGGAATAAGAAAATGTGGGTTGTTTCTAAGTTTGAGAGGAAGCACTCACATCGTTGCTGCAATGAAGAAGAAACTCAATTCCTTCGGTCTCATCGAAATGTGAGTGAAGGAGACAAGGCTCTGGCGATAGGGATGCGACAGTCAGGAATAAAACAACGCAACATTGTTCAGTTCATGAAGAATAAAGTTGGAGGATATGAGAATCTGGGGTACACTCCAAAGGATTTGGACAATGCTGTTCAGCAATCCCGAACAGTTGACGACGATCTAATAGGAGATGTTAACCGAACATTGGGTTACTTGCAAAGTAAACATACCTCTGATGCGGGCAGCTTCTTCAAGT